AGATGGTCTATGTGTGCCTATGGGACAGTGTACAACTTCTAATACCTTGCAATTAGATGGGACATCACTACTGTCGTTTCTTGTTTCATGTTGAATTTTACATGGTACTTGTTTTTTCATTTTTCATCTTTTTGGGGGGGGTCACTCTATCTCAGAAAACTCTGCTTCACAAATACGTCATGAGAAGAACGTAGTGCATTCTAATGTTGAAACTGAAGTACTTTTAGCTAGTAGTTTGTGCTGTGTCTGACAAACGTTCAGAATTGCCTTTTCTTTCTAATTTAAGATGCCCATAGTGCCTCTGAGTTTGCTTGTAGTGCCTCTGGGTGTTTTAGTATGCTTTTGGGGAACCATGGTTTGTGTTTTATCCAAACTGGATACTTTTATCCAGTTCCTATTGTAACCAATGGTGTGAGTTTTCTTTTTTATTAAATATAGCATGTTGGTACCTCCATATCCCAGGTAAGTTCTAATGTAAAACTTACTTGAGAATAGATTATGTGATCATGAAATATAGCAGGAAAGAGACCTGCCCCCCCCAAAAGGATATATAATGATCCTGTGATGTGCCCAGTGATTTTTTTTTAATAAGAAAAGGGTTTTTTTTTTTCCACATTCAGAATGATTGCTAGTAATAGCACTTTTGGTTTTGTTTAAAGTCAAGAGTCCAGTGTGGGTTTTTCTCTCTGATACTTAATATACATGGAATCATACACTGTCTAACAATTCAGTCATGGATAGTCATGATGAATGGAATATGCAATGGTGGCCCCATAATATAATACTGTAACTGTACCCTGTATATGTTTAGATACACAAACACCATGGTGATACAGTTGCCTACAGTCGTGAGTACAGTAGCATGCATGTACAGGTTTGTAGTCCAGGAGCTGTAGGCTATATGATATAGCCTAGGTGTACAGTAAGATATATATAACATGTAGCTTTGTAAAGGTACAAAAATATCCTTGTCATTAAGTGACACATGACTTTATACATTCTCTTTGATTTGGGCAGCTATTGGTAGAACTGAATTGTTTTTTTCCTAGTCCTTTGCCTTGTAGGCCATAGGTGGGATTATTTGCTTCCTTTAGGTGTTGTATGTTTCAGCTGTTCATTTTCCAGCACCTGATAGTCTATACCTCAGTTTAAACTTTCACTTAAAAGGCTAAACATGGGTGAGTATGGTGACTCACACCTGTAATCCCAACACTTGGGAGGCCAAGGTGGGAGAATTGCTTGAGTCCAGGAATTTGAGACTACCCTGTGCAACAGAGCAAGACCCTATGTCTACCAAAAAAAAAAAAAAATTAGCCGGGCATGGTGGTGCACTCCTGTAGTCCCAGCTACTTGGGAGGCTGAGGCAGAAGGATTGGCCAAGTCCAGGAGATTGAGGCTGTGGTGAGCAGCAACAGAGTGAGACCTTGACTCAAAAAAAAAAAACACAAAATGGTGGACATAATATATGCTCTTTAGATTTTAGATTTATCTGGAGTTTGATTTTACATATTGCATTGTCTGTTTTCTAAAATAATTTGATTTTTCTAATTTCCTGTCATTAATTCTTTAATAGTTGTTAGCATGAAAAAGGCATTTGTACATTTGTATTCATTATAATGAATTTTAAAATTTCACATTTTCTAAACCGATTATATCTTGTCTTAGGCATATTATTTTAATCAGTGATAGTGAGAATGTTGGGAGACTGAGTACAAAACCTTAAGTCACTTAAGTGAATTTTTTTGAGTCATGTGGGGCTCTAATTAAAAGTTTATTTGCTTGCATAAGCACCTGAGGGCAGGGGAGGAGCTAAAATAAAGATTGAGTTCTGGGCCTGCAACCAGGGTCACACTTGTAATTCCAGCACTTTAGGAAGCCAAGGCGGGAAGATCACTTGAGCCCACGAGTTTGAGACCAGCCTGGGCAACATAGTGAAACTGTTTTAATTAACACTTTTAGGCCTACTGCCTACAAGATAGAGGGCTAATAAAGAAGCAATTCAGTTCCACCAACAGCTGCCCAAATCAAAGAGAATATATAGTGTCATGTGTCTCTTAAATGACAAGAATATTTTTGTACTTTTACAAACCTACATGGTATATAGCTTACTATACACCTAGGCTATATAGCAACAACAAGAAAGGTTAAGTCTGATGATGGTATAGAAGAAAGGCATAGAAAAGAAACAATAACCCAAATTGAGAGTAAAATCTGTATTAAGGTACAAAAGTAAGTAATGTTAGTAAATATGAAAGTATTCATTATACAGCAGTTAAATTGGTTAATAATTGCTCTGTGGAATGCACAGGAGAAATTATTTTCAAGCCTGTTAATGTGAATACTAATTTGTATTTACTGGGTACTGATCATAAACCTCATTGTTGATTTGAAGCCTAAACTGCTCAGTCTAAAGGATCATTTCCGTCCCATTTCAGCTTGTAAATGTAAATAATTTTTTAAGAATGGTCATATTTATATTATAGGAGAAATTCCTTTTTCCTTTTATTTGATTTTAAAAGATATGCAGTGTTCTTTTTGGTGAGACTTTTTTTTAATGTTTTTAAGTTTAATCAGTACAACCATATGTCCCTTAATGATGGGGTTAACCTTCTGAGAAATGCAACTTCGGTGATGCAAACATCATAGAGTCCTTACACAAACCTAGATGTAGTATGGCCTACTATACTCCTAGGTTCTGTGGTATGGCCTGTTGCTCCTAGGATGCAAGCCTCTGCAACATGTTACTTGACTGAATACTGTAGATGATTAGTTAACACAGTAGATGAGTATTTGTGTATCATAGAAAGGCCTGCTTAGAAGGCTGGCCCTTGCCTGGTGTCTAGGAGTTTGACTGATACACAGTTTCTTAAGTTTCCTTTTTTTCTCACCTTTAAATTTTTTATTTTAAAATTGTGGGGTACAGTTCAGGGCAAGGTATACAAATATTCATTGTGCAGGTACCCTTGTTGATGAGATGTGCCCCCCCCCCGCTTCCCCAGGCAGTTTCCCACTACTGCCGATCCCACTTCCCCACTGCCCCATGGCCCCGCAGTTTCCCACTACTGTCAATTCTTTTCTTATAGTATTACGATAGTTGTTCAAGGTCCACTTAACATAAGAGTGACTATGGCTATTCTGTTCGTATAAACAATATGGCTTATGTTGAATACGTGCTGTCTTTCTGGGAGTCTGGAATTTTGGTTCATACTAGGCAGAGGGTACCTATGTGATCAGCCTTCAAAAAGACCTTGGGCTCTGAATATCTTATGAGCTGCTGATAGATAACACTTTATACATCCTGTTGGCAGTGGTGGAAGGATTGATATGCTGTACATAAAATGATTTTTCCTTATATTAAATATTGCCAAAAACATGATTTTTAATGCTACATAATTTGTATAGAATTTTTTAATGGCCTGTTCATTTTTTTTTAATGATAAAATACTTAGACATGGTAAAGTTCAAACTAGATAGAAAGAATAAAATGGGGGGAAAAAATCTTTTTCTTTCTTCCCTTTTAACACTTCTATGAGTTAACAATGGGTAACTGTTTTTCATATGCTTTCAGAAATTGTGTGTGTATGTGACTTTATAGTCTGTTATTTGGATAAGCCATAATTTAACTGATACTCTATTGATAGCCATTTAGATTATTTTGATGTTGCTTTTTCAGTGCTGTAGTGAATGTTTTCATGCATACATCTTTGCAATCTTGTAAATGTATATTTGAAGCATAAATGTATAAAAGAGGAATTCCTGGGAATTCCTGCATTTAAAATTCTGGTAGATATTATTAGATTGCTTTTCCAAAAAGATTGTTTGAATTTATACTTCTCTTATTAATAGATATTCTTCTGTGCCCCTGTTTCCTTATAGTCTTACCAACACTGGACCTTATATACATATATACCTTTTTATTATTTGCCAGTCTTGTATTAGAAAAATGAAACCTCTATGAAACATTGTTTTCACATAAATATTAGTCACTTGTCTATGAACTGCCTGTTTGCATCCTTTTTCTAGTTCTCTGGATTTGTTTCTATTTTTGATTTGTTAAAAAAAAAACTCTGCTTTTTAAAGAATTAGCTCTCTTGCAATTCAAACTTGCTTGTCTTTTGATTTTGTTTATGATCAGATTTATTAGATTTGTCACTTACAGCTTTTGGATTTTTAAAATTGCAAAATAACCTTAAAAGTGAGTGCAGAGAGAAAAAGTGATTCTAATAGTATCTCAAATGAATGTCAGAATGATGTTAAGGAGGAATAAAAATTAATCCAAGTACCTTTTAAATATAGTACTTTGACTATGTGCCCATTGACTAAAGTAGAAAAATAAGCAAACACATTTTGGACTCTTCTTACATTTGTCCTTTGTAGTGTCTGTTATAATGAATCTATTTGTGCTTATGTTAGGATTGATTTGATAGTTTCATTTGTTTCTTTCAACATAACTGTAGTGCAAAATACAACAGTTATCATCAGATGGACTGTCTAATTGCATGCATCATAGAACTATAGTGATCTGTAATTATGTGAATTATTAGGCATATCATTTAACTATTGTCAATTTAATTATGATATGAACTGTTCATGTATAGTTATACAGGTAGTCTTTGTAACTTATTCTTAGTGGTTTAGTCCAACTTCAAGAAAGATAGAAATATTTTATGTTGGGAAGCAGTCAGAATGAAGCCCTTTACAATGGTACTTTTTTTTTTAAAAAAGGAACCCCATATTCTACTTTGAGAATTCCAACTCTTATTTCCACTTGATTTATTTTTGTAATACTTGAAGATCTTAGTGCTTTCAACTCAGAACTGAAATGTATGATGCATGAATGTAACTTGAAATAATAAAATGAAAGTGTTTTTAAAGGGGGATCATGGAGAAAATGTTTTTGATTTGTAATTGCAAGATTAATGGCAGTACTGTGTGTTTGTGGTGTTTTGTTCTTTGTTGGTATTAGGTGACTCTGCTGATGCTTTATTCTCTCTGTATAGGTGTAATGGATAGGTAACAGAGAAGACCTCTTCCCTTTCTCATCAGGGCGTCAGCATGACTGAGTGTTTCCTGCCCCCCACCAGCAGCCCCAGTGAACACCGCAGGGTGGAGCATGGCAGTGGGCTTACCCGGACGCCTAGCTCTGAAGAGATCAGCCCTACTAAGTTTCCTGGATTGTACCGTACTGGGGAACCCTCACCTCCTCATGACATCCTCCATGAGCCTCCTGACATAGCATCTGATGATGAGAAAGACCATGGAAAGAAAAAAGGAAAATTTAAGAAAAAGGAAAAAAGGAGTAAGTGCTCTTTTTTCTGTTATTTAGATGCATTTTGGATAACTTCCACCCTAATCACATGTACCAGTTATCTTCTGGAAACATGTCAAGTCAGACACTCTTGTTTGATTATATGGTCTTTATTTCTCAGAGTCCTAATTTTTGTATATTAGAGTTAGGGCCTTATTCTCACAAATAAAAATATAGAGTTTCCAGAAATGGTAGTTTTCCAGTGGATATTTCTTAAAGTGATCATTTAAAATAATGTATAAAAAGCAGATATTGGAATTTTGCCCTTATAAAATTTTACTTTCTCGGTGAGTTGTATAGTCCATTTGGGGTACACTTTATTGAAACCGTGAATAAAGAAGTTATTCATGTGTCTTGAGCAACTGCCATGATGCGTTTTATTTATAGGTTCTGTTCGGTAGAGAGGATGAATCATTTAAGCATAGTTTTTTAGTATGTTAAAGGCAAATAGGGTGAGTTATTTTAAGTATTCCTTTATTTTGGACTTCATAGTATTTTTACATTAATTTGTTTTTGAAGTGTTATACACAGAGTACACGAATTATATACACCTTGATGAGGAGTAAGTGTAACCACTATAAAAATCTGCAAATAATCCATTGTTGGCACCCTAGAAATTCTCTTTTGCTGCCTCTTCAAAGGGAATTCCCTACCCCTCCAAAAAGTACCCTTCTTTCATCACAGATTGATACTGCCTCATTTTTGCTTGCCATAGGCCATGTGTATTTCAGCTTCAGTAGAACAGTTTTCCAGAGTGGTCATACCAGTTTACTCTCTCACCAACAGTGTATGAAAATTCCAGTTGCTTTATGTCATGGTTTTTTGCCCTTAAGATTTTTGCCATTCCTGTTGGTATGGGGTTGGTAGTATTTTAGTTAGAGTGTAACTTATAAAATAGCTTTAATCTTTGTTATAAAATAGCCTGTAAGGTAGTTATCTAAGGAAGATAATAGGAGAGTCATAATTACTTAAAATATAACAAAACCAAACCATGACAACTCTGCCATGGTGTTAAGGCAAGTGAGCACTTTTGTCAGTATGTGAAAAACCAGAGTTTCTGATGCAACAAAGTGAGCTGATGGATTTAGCTGCCATCCAAAGATGAGGACAGTTCCCAGTTTAGTCCGTTACTCAAACGAGGCTGTAGCCCCTGCTACAGTCTCCAGAAAGAACTTAGCAGCTAGTGACAGGAGAAAGATGTGTAATAGAAGAATCATTAAAGCACATAAACCGTAGTGTTAGTGTAGTTTGTGTCGTGCTTTGAGATTGCCTCAAGCCATAGGCACCAATAGGAAAAAGCTAGGTTAACTAAGTCATGTCATCATAGGTTGAATAGTCCTAATCCAAAAATCCCTACTTTGAAATGTTCTGAAATCTGAAACTTTTTGAGCACCAACCTGACCCTCAGAGGAAATGTTCATTAGAGCATTTTGGGTTTCTGGATTAGGGATGCTAAGCTGGCATAATGCAGATATTTCAAAACCTGGGGAAAAAATCTGAGATTTGAAACACTTCTGGTCTCAAGCATTTTGGATAAGGAATACTCAACCTGTAGGACTTGAGTCACATGATGAAAGGATACTTGCTCTATTTTATAGAAAGATTCACTCCGTTAGCCCTCTATATAAAACCTTTCATGTGTATTTATAATATTTGGTTTGTCAGAATTCCACTTAAAATTATAAGCACAATGACCACTTGTATACCTGATCCTGAATTATACACCACATCTTTAAATAAATAAAACAAAAAGCAAACAAACAAACAAAAAGATGTGCCATCCATCAGTCATCTAATCTAGTGCGATCTTAAAAAAAGTTATAATATAAAACCACTTCCCCACCTTACAGTCTGATAACTGCTGTCTGCTTCTCGACCTCTTGTGGTCAGGAGATGTCACCGCAACATCTCTTTTTAGCTGAGAAGAAACTTGTATCTTTGCTGGGAGTGCCCAGGAGGGATTGGTCATGAAGCAAAAAGCTAGATAGCTAGTGCCAGGTGGCACTGGTTTTTGCTCTGTTTTTAGAAAGCATATGGATATTTTGACATTAAACAAACTCCTAACGTATACTGTCTGCATTTCTTTGGCAGCTGAAGGGTATGCTGCCTTTCAGGAAGACAGCTCTGGAGATGAAGCTGAAAGTCCCTCCAAGATGAAGCGGTCCAAGGGAATCCATGTTTTCAAGAAGCCCAGCTTTTCTAAAAAGAAGGAGAAGGATTATAAAATAAAAGAGAAGCCCAAAGAAGAAAAGCATAAAGAAGAAAAGCACAAAGAAGAAAAGCATAAAGAAAAGAAGTCGAAAGACTTGACAGCAGCTGATGTAGTTAAACAGTGGAAGGAAAAGAAGAAAAAGAAGAAGCCAATTCCGGAGCCAGAGGTGCCTCAGGTTGATGTTCCGAATCTCAAACCCATTTTTGGAATTCCTTTGGCTGATGCAGTAGAAAGGACCATGATGTATGATGGCATTCGGCTACCGGCAGTTTTCCGTGAATGTATAGATTACGTAGAAAAGTATGGCATGAAGTGTGAAGGCATCTACAGAGTATCAGGTACTGGGGACATGCACGTTTTCACTTGGTGGGTTTGAAAAATTAACTTCACTTTCTTTTTTCAGAGGAAAGACAAATATTAACTTAAGGAAAATTCAGCTTGGGTCTTAAGCCTGATTCATTTCCTTGAGCCCTCCAGTTACAATAATCCTCTTTCCTCCCGCTCCATCATTTTTGGTGTTTGGGCAATTTGGCTTTTTATGATAATTCCTCCTTCAGTTAGGAGGATTTATTACTGAGTTATTAACAGCTTGCAACAGCCAGGACTGAGACAAAGTGCCGCCTTTGGGTAGCATCACTTAACAGGGTTGAGCTCAGACCCTGCTTTTTTCTTATCTTCTTCCTTCTCTAAACAGAGGCTCAGTGGTATGAAGGCCATTAGTTCAAGAAGGAAGACTGTCTGAGTGAAGGAAGCTTCCTGACTAAGAGACACATTTGTTGACACCATCGTATAATGCATATCCTGAATTCAGCTAAGAGGCATGAAGTGCTTTTTGTTTTTATTTTTGTTCTTTTTTTCTTTGATGTGTTGTTCTAGAGGCACTACAGTACCAGGTTGATGCCTGGAATGGACTGGGTCAGTTCCTACTCCATCTCCCTGCTCCAAAAATTCACTTTATATATTGTCCATGAATAGAGGATGTATCACATATTAAACTGATAAGAATAGATACTATACTTGTCTTAGCCAAAAGGCAAAGAAGCAAGGAAATATTCTTTTCTAAATGTGTAGGCCCCCAATCTGAATGCCTCTGCCAGCCGTTACATGTATTAGTGAACCTGACTTTCTGTTTGTCTTCATCCCATTTGTATACAAATTTAAATTTCATACTTGGCAAAATGTGTTTCATATTGAGTATCTAAAATCAAGCAAAATACGTATTACTTGAAAGTAATAAGATTTATTTTTTACTGTTAGGTCAGACAGGAGGGCCTGTGATCCATTACTGTGGGTAAGATGCAAAGAATTGCAGAGAAATTAGATTGGAAAATATAGTTTATTTAGAAAGTATATTGGAGAGAGAGAGTAAAGGGGAACCCACCTCCCCCAGATTGGGGAGGGAGCCAGAGCTTACAGAGATGCATGGCACAGTCATAGCTCATTGAATACGTGGCTGGGCCAGAGCCTAACAAAAGCAATGGCCATGGCTGCTTGGAGTCTCACTCAGTTGCCCAGGCTGGAGTGCAGTGGCACACTCACGGCCACCCCAACGTCAACCTGCTGGACTCTGGCAGTCCTTCTGCCTCAGCCTTCCGAGTAGCCAGAACTACAGGCGGCTAATTTTTTAATTTATTTTAGAGACTAGGTCTCACCAAGTTGTCCAAGCTGGTCTCAAACTCTGGGGCTCAGGCAATCCACTCGCCCTGTCCTCCCAAAGTGCTGGGATTACAGGCTGAGCCAGGGGTTGAATGCTTTCTAAACTTTTCCTTTGATGAGGACAGGTTGTTAAGGTGATTGGGTGGTGGTCTGTTTTACATCATCATGAAGGAGCAGGTAAACATAACTGACCTCACAATTATGGATGGCAGGCAGATGGGTGGGCTAGTCACATGATTGTTGCCATGGTGATGGGTTCTGTCCGTCACCTCCCTCAGGATTGGATGGATGGGCGGGCCAGTCACATAGATGAGAGGGCCAGGTGAGATGTTAATCTCAATGTTTTGTGACTAGCCCAAGGTTCCAGGAAAGGATTATTGTCTGTCTGGCTTAAGGAGACCAGAGAAATTCCATTTGGGGCTCTATCCTTTCATTTACAAAGCAGTGTGACTTTTGTACTGATGTAGGCTGAAAGTCCTGACCTATAGCAGTGTCTATGTTCCAAATCATTGCATTGCCATTATTCAAACTCTTGATACATCTTCAATTTCTGTTTAGAGGTTTATTTTATAAAATTAATTGTTGGTCAAACACACATCTAGAATATGTATAGAGATTAGACTTAGTTTTTCCATTTAATTGGTTCATGCACAGTTCTGGAAGGTGGATTTAAAAATTAAATTTTGTTGAGGCAGGCATTTTTGGTAATTGGGAAAACCTTTCCATAATCCAGTAGATTACATGCTAGCATTTAAGAATATTTTAGCTAAAATGCTATCATTTCATAGAAAACAAAATAAATTAGTCATTGAATTTGAGTTTATAACTCCTTAGTGTTACATAAAGTTAACATACTTAAGTGGATCTTAAAATTTGATTTTTAAGAATAATTTATAGGGAATTAATTTTTAGACATTAATAACATGAGCTGCTTCTCTCACATGATCTTGATAGGCATGGAGAAATTTTGTCTTAGCTGAAAGTTTCTCTGAAAAGTTTCTATAACTTTGTTCAAAGGATTCTTTTATCTCTGACCTATTTTTGATATTTACATTCTTTTGGAAATTCAGAGTTGTAAAACTCTTCCTCTCTATCTGTTTGTAAAGCATTCAGACTGAGGTGTTCCCCATCACTGATGCTCAGCAGGTGCTGAGCTCCTACTTCACTGAATTGTGTGTTTGTTCTTAGCACACCTGTTACCACAGTTACAGCCAGTGCTAATAAGAATACCGGTTTTTTTTTTTAAGTTGGAGTCTCACTCTGTTGCCCAGACTGGAGTACAGTGGCACACTCCCGGCCACCGCAGCCCCAACCTGCTGGGCTCTGGCAATCCTCAGCCTTCCAAGTAACTGGAACTACAGGGAGGTGCTACCACGCCGGGCTAATTTTTTGATTTATTGTAGAGATGAGGTCTCACCAAGTTGCCCAGGCGGGTCTCGAACCTGCGGGCTCAGGCAATCCACTCACCTCAGCCTCCCAAAGTGCAGGATTACAGGCTGAGCCACCGAGCCTGGCTAAGAATACTGCTTTTTGCTGGAGATTTTGGTTCCAATTTTAAACTAATATGAAAGACAATTTAAGTGATTCTATGTATTTTAATTTACTCATTTACATTATATTAATATTTTTTGCCTTAAAGTGTGCCCATATGATCTTTCTGTGGAATGCTTCATTTGGAGTGTCTAGTTTTTAATAGGAAAATATTTTGATTAGTTTCAGAATAATGACAAACCAAACACATATTCTCATTGTCTTCTTGTGCAATTTATGCTGGGTAGATACTGTTGGGGGAAAAATTAAATAGATATAATAATATGAGAAAGAGAGCTCTTTGCCAAGGATTTCAATTAAAGTTATTGTTAGGGTCTGGATAGGGTGAGGGTGGATGGATGGAGAGGGAGAGGCGCAGGGAAGGTGCAGCACCTCCCAAGCCGGCAAGCCGGAAGTGCGTGCTGGCAACCCAGAGATCCGAGTAAATGCAAAGAATTGCAACACACAGAGGTGAGAGAAAAGATTTATTTAAGAAAAGTTTGCCCCTTACAAACTGGGAGCGGGTCTACACTCTAGGTGAGTGTGGCGCCATAGCCCCCCAAAGCCCTGGCTTAAATCCTTTTCCTTGGAGATGTTGTAATCAGGTAGATGTGACTGCCATGACTTTCCTTATAGACCATCTGTGGATGTCTTGGAAAACCTGTGACACAGAGACCCACTAATGTCTGCCCACATTATCAAAGCTCCTAATTTTCCTGCACCTTCCGGAATGACATTCCTTAGAGCTAATGGAGGGTGCACCTCCCCTTATCTCCTAGGCATTCCCAGTGGGTAACTTTGGGGGATCCTTGGCTTCCCTGTAGCTAATGCCCAATTTACTAGAAGATCAAATCCCCACCTGCTCTCCCTCTGAACAGTTATAACTTTTGTAATTACAAGTTTCATGACTTTTACAATCCTTGCCCAATACATGGTGTCTTAGGCCTTGTAAATTTCCTTTACTCTAGGCAAGTTTGATTGCCACTGTGAGGTATCTCTGATACCTGGCACAGGAAATCTGTTTCTGAAAAGACAAAGTCTGCAAAGTTAATTTTACTTAAAGTGTGCATTTCTCCAAAAACATAGCTTCTATTTTCTTATCATTGTGTCAAGGTTTAAGAACAAGATGAAAAATGGCTTCCCATTTTCAGTCTGTCTTTTCAGTTATCACTCATTTTTTACTCATATTGTCATAAAAGTGAGAAAATGAGAATTACTTTATAACTTTTCTCTCTGAAAATTAAGATTATGCAAAAATAAATTCATATTGTTATTTTTGTATTTGGTGCTATTGATATTATTTTGTCAGTGCTGGGGAAGTTACAGATTTATCATAATTCCATTAAAAGGTTTCCACATAAGATAAGGGCTGCCAAAGCCCAGATCTAAGCACTGTGTTAGTCAAATGCTGTTCAGTTTAACTGGCATTTACTATTAGAAATGGCCAGCCTTAATTTGTGACTTGTTTCAGTAATTGGCCTAAAGTATTAAGTATTAAAAACAGCAAAAAGCTACTTTGTATTTTTCTGAGCAATCACTGTCACTAAATTAGGTCCCTTAATGCAGATTGGACTAAAGACTTAAAAAAAAAATTGAAAAACACTTAATGTCTTTCTGTCCAGTAGGAAAAGCAAAACAATTTGATTTTAGAAATCCAAACTCACAGGTTTGTGACCAGCCTGGGCAACTTGGCGAGACCTCATCTCTACAATAGATCAAAATATTAGCTGGGTGTGGTGACACATGCCTGTAGTTTCAGCTACAAGGAAAGCTGAGGCAGAAGGATCACCTCAGCCCAACAGACAGAGGCTGCAGTGGCTATGAGCGTGCCTCTGCACTCCAGCCTGGGTGATAGAATGAGACTGACTCAAAAAAAAAAAAAAAGAAACCCAAACTTCTTTGTTCCAACTCTGTTTAGATTAAAAGAATCCAAACTTTAAAACAAATTCGGTGGGGATTATTTAATGGATAATAATTTTCAAAGAGTTCGTTTGGATACTCACTTTTTGCAATTAGAAAGCAATTTTTGTATGTAATTTTTTTTAATAAGTAATTTACCCACCACTTTTGGGAGCATACTTACGTATACCAGTTTCTGTTTTATGTTGTCAGTTTTTTGACTGTTAGAAAAGTAGCTGGTTGCCTGTGTAGAGCAAGACTTATGCTTGGATTGTAGTTTAATTTGTGCCTGAATTTTCATCTAGCCATCTTTAAACTTAAAAAAAATTTTTCTGAATCAATTGGCATATTTGCTTAATATATCCATGGTTGCTCTGACTTTTGTTCTGAACATTGAGTTTTTCAGTTATCATTTAGCTTTCAGTTAAATTCATCTTTTACATGACAGTGTTTACAGAGGAAGCATATGACCTTTGTGCAGATAAATAATTCACAGCAAGAGGTTTGTTATTGGTCAGGTGGCTATTTTTGGGTCTCCCAGCAAGGGTGGGTATAGTGGTGAAGAAAGCTTGTGTGTTTGATTTTTTTTTTTCCTCAGCATTCTCTCTCTTCTGAATTTGACTGTTTTAAGGAATTAAATCAAAGGTGGATGAGCTAAAAGCAGCCTATGACCGAGAAGAATCTACAAACCTGGAAGAATATGAGCCAAACACTGTAGCTAGTTTGCTGAAACAGTATTTGCGAGACCTTCCAGAGAATTTGCTTACCAAAGAGCTTATGCCCCGATTTGAAGAGGCTTGTGGGAGGACCACAGAGGGCGAGAAAGTACAGGAATTCCAACGCTTACTCAAAGAACTGCCAGAATGTAACTATCTTCTGATCTCCTGGCTCATTGTACACATGGACCATGTCATCGCAAAAGAACTGGAAACAAAGATGAACATACAGAACATTTCTATTGTGCTCAGCCCAACTGTGCAGGTACATGGTCTTCTCTGTACACATCCTCTCTGCCCTGACACTGGGAGTTGGGGGCATTTTCTATTGCTGAGTCACATATGAAGCAATTAACCAGAGAAGGCAGATAATGGATTAGCATGAATGTACGTTTTTTTTCTTTCATAATGTGAACAGTGTTGACGTATAAGATAAAGGGCATATTTGCCCTTAAGCTTGTAGCTATGTAATTTGAGTATCATATAGTCTTTGGAATGGGTTTATAAACAAGTTCCTGATGCTGGTGATCTGTCATTAGTAGAGAAGATGCTCATGGTACCTCTAATTATAGAGTTCATCTGAAGAATTTTAAAGATGCTAATTATTTCATCAAATGGCATTATTGCTTAATTATAGCGCACACATGTGCATGCGCGTACACACACATAAAACTCTGGCACAGAGGGGCTTAACATTAATTTGTTTGATCAGGAATTTACCCTGAGTATTTCATTCATAAGGATGGGTCCTAGAGATGCATATTATAGGATCTTAAGCTGAGAAAGTACTTCAGGGAATTGAGTAGTGTGTTAATTGGTGTATGTGTTTTTTTATGGCATGAATACTTGGCCCTTCTTAATTGCTGCTCAGTTGGTACTGCCATAGACTATATGTTTCTCTTTAATTCGAGTTATTGATATTTTCCTCAGGCCAAAAAAAAAAAAGATGATGGTTATTTTTTCTTTTAAGTCCTCTTTTTAGCTAATATACTAGGTCACCATAAATCATTGTCACTGTTATTAGAGTGTGTTTTCACTTACTAAAGATTCTTTCATTCCTGATTAATTATATTTTGTAAGCAAAATGTTTCTCAGATTTCAATTTGATCATTTGAATTAGTTGGGATTCAGAATCTAGTCAATATTACATTGATACTTAGTATTACTGTGATAGGGATGATAGTATCGCAAAAGAGTCAAGTGTGTTGTAAGAGTTTTAGGTAGACAATAACTTTTTTCATTAGAGCCTCATGCTCTGGTCTCTTTGTGTATGGACATCATACTTAAATGCAGGCTGTGTAAGTATGTGCAGACGGTTTCTGTAGGGAGGGCTCAGTCCAGCCCAGCCTTACTACTGTGGACACTGCGGGAAGGTTTCAGAATAAGTTGAGAATAAGAACATAAGATGTTTTAATGAGTTAATATTGTAATGACAGAAAAGGACTGATGGTTGTCCCCTTCAGTATCCTTGTCTTGGCTCCCCTCTTCCTTCCCCTTCAATTCCTTAGAGTGCCTGAGTATATGATTTAACTTGTATTTTCCCGTTTTCTTAAATTAGCCATTAATTAGCAATGCCTGTCTTGTCACTGCTGGGTAGAACTTTCATTCATGTGTCCAGGATTAAAGGATGCACTATGTGATAGATATACATAAATAAACACAATTGTAATTTTAATCGCGTCCTTGTAAACCTTTTTTTTTCTTAGATTAGCAATCGAGTCCTGTATGTGTTTTTTACACATGTGCAAGATCTCTTTGGAAATGTGGTACTAAAGCAAGTGACGAAGCCTCTGCGATGGTCTAACTTGGCCACAATGCCCACACTGCCAGAGACCCAGGCAGGCATCAAGGAGGAGATCAGGAGACAGGTGTGTGCCCCAGCCCTCACACTCTGGCCCTCCACAGCCTGCCTTTGTATTGGCCATGGTGGAGACTGATAATGATTAGCTCTTGTTTAGTGAGCACTTTCTGTGTGTCTGGAGGTGTGTAAGGCACATTCTCCATGACACACTGAAGTCAGAAATTTCTATCCAGTACTGTTTCATGCCAGTTAAGTCAGAATGTCATGATAGAAAGCGTAGTTTTTTAAATCAAATGACCGGACTTTAAGTTCTTACTCTGCTCCAAAGCCTTGATTCTCATTTTAAAATGGACCCTTTCATAGGGTTGATGTGAAGATTTCTGCAGATGAGAGAACACATGAAAAGTGCCAGGTGTGTTACAAACAATGCAAAAATATTTGCTCATCTGAACAAGGTTGTTGTCATTAGCCATATTTTACATATAAGAATATTGAAATGTAGGGAAGTTAAGTAACTTACTCTGTGTCCCATGATTACTAAGCTATAGAACCAAGTGTTGAGCCCAAACCCTGGGCTTTTCACTGTGCTACTTTGGTGTAAGAAACAACACTCTGTGTGTGGGGGTGAGGGGGAAGGGTGTTAAAAAGGAAGATTGAATAAGAAATTTGAGACTAAAGAAGTTTCATTACATTTGGTTATTTATTTGCATGTACATTATCAAATGCCTACTGGCTTTACTTCCTTTTTATCTACTCTGAGCTCCTGTTTCTTATTAGTTGATGATGATGTGAGAGTGAGGGGATGTGAATTTAGTAATATTGAACCAATATAAATTAATGAATGAGCACCTAATTCCCAGGAAAAACAAATAGTAAGTGATTTTTCAATCATATCCTTGAAAAAATACTGAGAACCATTATTTCACTCCTTTAGTGAGATAAAGGATAATTGAAAAATAGTTGATTCTACATCTTTAGAAATTGTTGTTTAAGTTAAGACAGAATACAACTTAGTGTATGGCATTGCTTCCTAGGAGTTTCTTTTGAATTGTTTACATCGAGATCTGCAGGGCGGGATAAAGGATTTATCTAAAGAAGAAAGATTATGGGAAGTGCAGAGAATTTTGACAGCCCTAAAAAGAAAACTGAGAGAAGCTAAAAGACAGGTGAGTTAATGTGTTATTTTGATATATTATGCTTATACTAAAATAGAATGTGCTGGAGTCTTTTATATGGTATTTTAAGTTATTTCTTTTAAAAATATGTACATGCCACTTGAAGTGAAGTTCCCTGATGGGAAATTCATTCACTGAAATGTTTCTAGTTCTGGATTACTGATACTTCAGCCTAGTGGTCAGTCAAATGTTTCATTTAATTTAGACAGTTTTTTTAAAATTAAAAATGATTTCACTACAGATGTTTTGTCATTTCATGCTTGATTATAACTGTATACAGAGCTTTCTAAAGATGAAAAGCAGGCAGTATGGTGAGACATCCTCAGAGACTGCTGGGGAATTTGAGGCATTTAGAATTAGTCAGTTCTTTGGAAACAGTGATAAGCATCGCCTGGAAGGCCCTGAAGATCAGGAGAGATTCTGTTTACCTAATAATAATGAGTGATGTGCAACACTTGTTAGACTTTTTATATCCTTTAGTTTAGTGTGTGTTGCTTGGTTCTGGGACCTTGAGTTGACCCCCACACCAAGGCTAAAATCTCAAATCTCTGGACCATCTTACAATCCACATGCAGATTCAACTCTAGAATCCAAATAGCACACATTATTTAGCATTTGCCAGAATTGGAGAGCATGATAGTGGGTCTCTGTTGTGGTTGTGTTAAAATACAAAGACAACCTGAGTATTTCTGTTTCTTAAGGTTAGAGATAAGCAGATCCATTAGATTTTTACACATGCCTTCCAGGATAAGCAAGCTAACCCTCTATGTATTTTTCTTCCTTCTCTTCTCTCTTGCTTACTAGATTATTTGTCTCTTGCCTATTATGCCTGTTTGTTGTTGTTGTTGTTGTTGTTGTTGTTGTTACTGTTGTTAAGTTTTTCCCCTCATGTATCAGCCTGGAATGAGGCATTGGTGACCAACCTCCAAGGCTTCATGGGCAGTTTATAATTGTTAATCATATGGCATTGCCAGTCAGCCTCTAAATGAAGAGTCTCTGACTTAGGCCAGGGTTGATGGAAGTCTGGCTTTCATTTTTCTTGCTTCTGCATCTCTTTTGTGTAAAGGAATTGTGAGGTAGCAACCAGAGTCAATATGAGAAGGAATGGATGACCTTCACTGTATCAGTTTTCTCAATGCTGTGTTTTCATACCTGCTCGTTAATTCACAAAATGCTCAAAAGATTCTACCAAGTTGATTTCAACTTTGAGGAATAAGCAACTTTCAAAGACAGAGATAATATATTAACAGAGTAAAAATTTTAAAAAGATAACATCATATTAGTAGGTACAGAAAAACCAGTTGACAGAATTCAACACATGTTCATGATAAAAACTTTCAGCAGACAACTTCCCAGCCAGATAAAAGGCATCTATTTAAAAAAATCTGTGGCCAGGCTCAGTGGCTCATCCTGTAATCCCAGCACTTTGGGAGGCCGAGGCGGGGGATTGCCTGAGCTCATGGATTTGAGACCAGCCCGGGGCAACTTGATGAGACCTCGTCTCTATAATAAATTTTTTTTAAAAATTAGCCAGGCATGGTAGTGCCCACCTGTAGTTACGGCTACTTGGAAGGCAGAGGTGGACGGATCGCCAGAGCCCAGCAGGTCAACGCTGGTGTGGCTGTGAGTGTGCCACTGCACTCCAGCCTGGTGAAAGAGTGAGACTCCAACTTAAAAAAAAAAAAAAAATCTACAATTAACATCATACTTGATGGTGAAAGACTAAATACTTTCCCCCCAAGATTGGTGTACAGTGCAAGGATTTCTGCTGTTACCACTTCTTGTCAGCATTGTATTTGAGGTTCTAGCCAGTGCAATGAAGCATGAAAAAAAGGCATAAAAAATTAAGAGAAATAAATTTTTATTCTTGGGATAACATGATCATCTACATATAAAATCCCAGGGAATCTTCATTAAAGAACTAATTGGCTGGGCTCAGTGGCTCAGCCTGTAATCCCAGCACTTTGGGAGGCTGAGGCGAATGGATTGCCTGAGCCCACGGGTTTGAGACAAGCCAGGGCAACCTGGCAAGACCTCATCTCTACAGTAAAATAAAAAATAGCCAGGCATGGTCACACGCGTCTATAGTTCGCTGAGGCGGAAGGATCGCTGGAGCCCAGAAGGTCAACACTGGGGTGGCCATGAGCATGTGTGCCACTGTACTCTAGCCTGGGCAAAGAAGTAAGACTCCAACTCAAAAAAAAAATATTGGCAATGGACAATTGGATCTGGACCTCAAAAAAAAAAAAAAAAGGACCTAAATAAATGGAGACATATTATTCATGTGAAACAGAAGATTCAATATTACTAAGATGTTAGTTTTTCCCAAATTGATCTATGGACCAACTCCAATAAAAATCCAAACAGGCCAGGTTCGGTGGCTCAGCCTGTAATCCCAGCACTTTGGGAGGCCAAAGTGAGTGGATTGCTTGAGCCTGTGGTTCCAGACCAGCCTGGGCAACTTGGCGAGCCCTCATCTCTACAATAGATCAAAAATTAGCCAGATGTGGTAGCATGCACCTATAGTTCCAGCTACTCGGACGACTGAGGTAGAAGGATCGCCGGAGCCCAGCAGGTCAATGCTGGGATGGCCATGAGCATGTTCCTGCACTCCAGCCTGGGTGACAGAATGAGACTCCAACTCAAAAAAGAAAAAAATATCCAAACAGGTAGCTTTTATAGAAATGTTAGCTCTTCCAAAATGTATGTGGAAATACAAATGACCTAGAATAGGCTCTACAATTTTGAAAAAGAACATAGTTCGAGGACTCATACTACCTGATTTCAAGACTTTTTATACAACTACAGTAATCAAGACAGTAAGTATTGGACAAAGATAAACATAGAGTAGAAAGTTCAAAAGTAGACCTACACATTTATGGGTAATTTTCACCAAAGAGCCTAAAACAATTCAGTAGAAGGAGAAGATGTTCTTTTCAACAAAGAGTGCTGAAACAATTGGATAGCTACATGAAAAAAAGAAAGAACCTTGACTCTGCACCACATATGCAAAATTAATTTGAATCACAAACTAATACTAAAAAAATCTTTCAGAAGAAAACACAGGAGAATATCTCATTGACCTTGACTTAGGCAGTAATTTCCTAAATAGGACACAAAACCTATGAATTATAAAACAAAAATTTGACAAATTGAATTTCATCAAAATTCCAAAAACTGCTCTTCAAAAGACATTGTTAGAAAATGAATGTGCCAGCCAGAGCTATCATTACAAAAAACACACATCTGATAAAGGACCTGAACTTGAACATTTAAAAAACTCTTACAACTTAAGACAGTTTAGTTTTAGAAAGGTAAAAATTTGATCAGACAGATGGCAAATAAGCATATGCAAGATGCTCAGCATCATTGATCATTAAGGACACATAAATAAAAGGCACTATGAGATAACACTGCACACCAACTAGAAGAGCTAAAATTGAAAACGCCAAGTGTGGATAAGAATGTAGAGTAACTGGAATTCTCATTGTTTGTTCCTGGTAATGCAAGATGGTATGGCTACTTTGGAAAACAGTTTGGCATTTTCTTATAAAGTTGAACATATGGTTACCCAGCAGTCCCACTTCTAGGTATTTATTTCAGAGAAGAGCACATATACCCTCACCAAAGCATATGCGAAATATTCATAACAAATCTAATCATAATAGTTAAAAACTAGAGAATCCAAATGTCCATCAGCTGATGAATGGATAAATAATTGGGCTACATTCAGACCACGGCATACAAGATCTGACAATTAAATTTGTGAACTCATCCTAGAAAAAGCACTACATATCTCATTGCTGAATATCACTATGGTCACCATCAAAGTACTCCTTTTGAGAAGCTATGCTCTGACACCAGCACCTAGTCATAGCAATTTTGCAACTCTTTTTCTGGAACGGCCATCAGAGCTGTCGTGTGATGTCCTTGATATCCTGAATTACCCTTGATGTACTGAATGTCATCAGAATGTCTTCCTTTCAGTAGTTCCTTTATCTTTGGGCAAAGAAAAAAGTCACTGGGGGCCAGATCAGATGAGTAGGGAGGGAGTTCCAATACAGTTATTTGTTTACTGGCTAAAAGCTCCCTCATAGACAGTACTGTGTGAACTTGTGCATTATCATGATGCGAGAGCTCTTTTGGGACCATTTTCATGTCAAGGTTTGCAATTGAGATTTTCCTATTTGTATATTGATGTTTATTTGGTCTGCTTTGCTTCTCACAGTCAGCCAACGATTCTGATGCACAGTTTGACAAATTTTTGCAATGTTTTCACCAGTTCTGCTCGTTATTGGCCGCCTTGACCTCTCTTCATCAGTGATGCTCTCTCCCCTCAGAAAAATGTTTAATCCATTTGTATACTGATGTTTTCTTCTTGGGCATTATCCCCATAAACTTGGCAAACATGTTCCGATTTCCAATCTTGCCAAGTTTAACAAGAAATTTAGTGTTTATTCATTGCTCTAATTCAAGCCCTGACATTCTTATGACAGCACACAAAAACACGCAACAACAATAATGAACGCCACTTACCAAGACACTGCCACACATTGACACACACACAGCTGCGAGACACCGATACACCAAGGTTACAAAACTTTGCTGAGTTGTTGTACAGTGCTGTACACAGCAACAAGTTCGCGAACTTAATTGCCAGACCTTGTATTGCTCAGTGAGATACAAACAACCACATACATGAATCTTAAGAGCATGTCCTAGTTGAAAGAGTCCAGATAATCAAACTGCTTACTGATTGATTCCGTTTTTGAGAAACTCAAGAAAAAACTACAGTGACAAAAAGCCGTCAGTGGTTGCAAGACACCAGCAGATGGTAGAGGAACCCAAGGGGACTTTGTGTGGTGATGGAAATGTTCTGTAGTATAATGGTGGTGGTGGTGGTTACTTGACTGTGTATGTTTGTCAAAACTAAATGATATGCCTAAAATTGACACTCACTAGCCCCTCAAAAAGAAATATCACAGAAGGTAATTTATTGGAAGGGTTCTGGAAATGGTGAGCACATTAACTAGAATTGAACATTTTTTTGGAGCCACAGACCAAGATCCCTACGTTACATTCCAAGCTCAGTTACCAAGTGCCCATCCAACTAGGTGGTTCATCTGACACTACTATTTTTTTTAATTCTAAAAAATGAGAAGAACGCTTCTAGGTTGGCGATGATGTGAATTTGTTGAATATATGTTACATGTAGGCCAACCAGTTCTTTCCTATTTGTCTTACTTGACAGGAATGTGAAACCAAGATTGCACAAGAAATAGCCAGTCTTTCAAAAGAGGATGTTTCCAAAGAAGAAATGAATGAAAATGAAGAAGTTATCAATATTCTCCTTGCCCAGGTAAGCTAAACTCTTTTTCTGTTTTGCAATATTTGTGTTTTTAAGACTAGTCGAGTGCACTAGTGACTAGTCTTAAAAATAAATAGCAGGGGGAAAGAGTAGAACAAGGATTTCAATCTGTAAAACTGGCTGCAAACAATTGATTGAGATAACTCACTACCTTCAGCAGAGCAGCCTATTTTGCAAGACTCTCAATGGTCAGTTGTGTATGTGTGTTTTGTTTGTTTTTTTTTGAATTGGGGTTTCACTTTACTGCCCAGACTGAAGTGTGGTGGCATGATCATGGTTCACTGTAGCTTCAACCTCCTGGGCTCAGGTGCTACTTCTACCTACCCTCTCAAGTAGCTGGGAATATAGGAGTGCGCCACCATGCCCAGCCAATTATTTGATTTTTTTTTTTTTTAAATAAAGACAGGGTCTCACTTTGTTGGCCAGGCTGGTCTTGAACTCCTGGCCTCAAGCGATCCTCCTGCCTCGGCCTCCCAAAGTGCTGGCATTACAGGCATGAGCCACCACATCCAGCCTCAATGGTCATTTTAAAATTATAATTTAAGAAGCTTTTCTGTAGAGGTGTGAATCTTTCAACCAAAATTGCAAAGTGATTTAGAGGAATTTTTGCCTGTTGTATTTGGCCCTCTCTTTATCTGTGTTTGCTAAAATGTTCAGTATGCAAAAAGAAACTACCTTATACTGAGTAATTACTCCTTACTAGGCATTGTTCTAGTACTTTACTTGATCTCATTTATTCCACACACAGGTCCAAGTGATAGATCTTTTCCCTAATTTATAGATGTTATTTATTCCATATTAATGACATCAGATTTTAATAAATATTTTAAAACCTAAAACCTGACATTACAATATATGAGATCTTTGAAATGTACTGTACAGATTTTAATAGTTGTTACTCATAACACCTTCTAGATATTTTGATTTTTGCTCTTTGCAGGGGAAAGTCAGTTGTTGGAGGCAGATTATCCTGTTTGTCCTTCAGAGTCAACAAATATCTCTTGAATACCTGCTGTATTCCAGGCACAGAGCTGAGTTTCTCAAGTCAACCTTACACTGTTCTGGAAATTCCCAGAGTTTAACCAGAAAGGAATGACGTTCTAGGCTTTGACTTGTTTCTAGGCTTCCAGAAGCACCTGTGTGTGGTTTATACAAAAGCCCTACAGGTTTCAGTCCTTTTCTGTCACTTCGGAAAAATGTATGTTTTGGCGAGCAGGGCACATTTCTGCTTTCCCCTGAGGAGAGAATGAAGTCCCAGATGGTGTCTTTATTTTGTAGAGTTTTTCAACCTGATAGTTCTTGAAATGTTACCGCTAATAGGTATGCTGAGGTAAAGGAACACATCTGTGTTCAAAAACATTTGGGAGACACTGTCTTCCATCTCTAAGAGAGAGGTTCTCAGTGCTTGTTAGTGGCTGGAGGTAGTTTATTTTGGCATGCGGCCATGGTGTCTTTCAAATCTGACCATAGGACTTATCCTCTCAAAACCTGTTCCTTTGGGAAAAAAGTCTCCTCTACCTCCTCATATCTATAACCACACTTCTATTATTCCCTAAGTTTTGTCTGCATTAGCTCTTTTCTCTAGGTTGGAGGGGCTCTCTAGACCTTGGGCAGATAGAGGGAGTTTTTTCCATTCTTTTCATAAGACTGGTGACCTAATCAGTTTTGGAAAGGGATATTCTGTTAATACAGAATATTTGCCGTTTTACCATTATCTCTGAGAACATGGGTTGAGGAGAAAGGCAGCTTATGAAGAGAAAAAATTTCTGTGATGATCTTTCCTTCACTCTGGTCTGCCTTAAAAGTGATGCTGACACCAGCCACACATCTCCAGATCCTTCTTTTCCTAGTGACACTGTTGAAAGCCACTGTGACCCTAAATAGTCTCACTTTTCTGAGAGTTGAGAAGGCATTACAAAAAGACTGGGAGGCCAAAGCAGACTTTGTCACTTGAACTCTGGTTTTTTTCCCCCTGTGAGAACCTCAGGGAGGGGAGCCTTTGCAAAAGGAGGACACAGAGTTCCTGTGTAGCATTTTGTCGTTGAGAAAGATCTAGTCATTCCCCCAAAATAACTTTGTTTACCTTTTCTCAAAGAAGCCTTTTTTTGATCCTGAGTAAACAGGATATTTTTAGGTTGTGCAGCACGTGCCTTGTGTGTTCAGCACCGTATGGGGCTCTAGAATTCAGGGCAACATAGGAGACCCTAAAAAGTGACATTTCCTGGACTAGAACTCAGAAGTGTTCACTGGTGATCATTGTTTTAGGAGAATGAGATCCTGACTGAACAGGAGGAGCTTCTGGCCATGGAGCAGCTTCTGCGCCGGCAGATTGCCTCAGAAAAAGAAGAAATTGAACGCCTCAGAGCCGAGATTGCCGAAATCCAGAGGTACAGGAGAGCTGGGGGTTTCGAAGTGTTCAGGAATATTTATTCAAATATAAACACAATTGTTTCAGTGTTTAGACTTTCCTATAAAAGAATTAGCCACCCGAAATTAATCATCTTTAAGCCTCTCATTTTGTCAGGTCTTAAGAATGGTGTTCTATTGAGTAGACTCATGAAAACTGGTAAATCGAAAAGAAGGGAGGTGGCAGACAGGCATCCTGTGCATAGTGTTTTCCTTCTTCTCTCCCCTCAACAGCCGTCAGCAGCACGGCCGAAGCGAAACTGAGGAGTACTCCTCTGAGAGTGAGAGTGAGAGTGAGGATGAAGAGGAGCTGCAGATCATTCTGGAAGATTTACAGAGACAGAATGAGGAGCTGGAAGTAAGTTTCGGGGGGGAAATAGCCAAAAGGCATACTAACTTATGGAAGGTTGAGGAGACCATGTTTCCCCTCAGAATTGTCCTTTTTCCTTGGTTATCAGCTGGGAGGCTATGTAGAGTGGACCACAGGGGCACGATTCACCTAAGTGCTAAGTGCTGGCCGACCAAATGACACCTGCATGTCTTTCTCAGGCTGTCAGAAGTGACCTTCCGTGAGTTTAGTGAGTTTAGTATCCCACACGGGCCTTTTCCTTCCCGGCCTGAGGGCGAGTGCCACCTGACTCTGTCAGTTTGAGCAGCTTTGAATGATCTGGTCTCTGTTCCTAGCAAGGATGAACAGAAAAATAAATGCTAGTGGAAGAAGGAAGTCTCTTGAATCTCCCCGTGGGTGAAGTGAGAGACAAGGCTTTCTCTTGGCCCTTAGCCTATAATGCAACAAGCGAGAGAGAACATGGTGCTAGAAAACTGGGAAATACCACACAGTGAAGAGAGGGCAACAGAGTCAAGGTCTGGGCCAGAATGTACCTTCTTACCACAAGGAAACATTGTCTTCAGATATTTTGCCTAAGGGTCAAGAGAAGATATCCTCTTCAGAGAAAGGAATTGAATAGGCAGCTCTGCTTGCCTCGTTCAGGGTTGGCTCAGCAGCGGGGGCAAACCAGGCTACACCCTGCATGGAAAACCAGGATTCCACCCAGAAACTGCCACCCACAAGGGTCTTCTTCGCTAGCCAGAGTTTAGAGTGGGGCCCACAGGCTCAAGGTGGAGACACTCGCTGCAGCAAACATGTGCTATGGGGAGAAGCTGAGCTGGTGTCGAGGCCCAAGTTGCTGGAGCTTCTGTACCTTGGCGCTTCATTTTGCTTTTGCAACATTTTGCAATCCTAAGTGGGAAACATTATCCTGAATTCTCGTCCTTGGGATGTAGACTGAGCTGCTATGGCAGAATTATGCGGTGGGTTAAGCAAGATGGCAGCATCTTGTGTGGCAGGCGCTCGGCCCACCCTTCTCCACACGTGCTTTCTCCACTGGGGCTCCACAGTGGCTGCTCCGGGTCTCCAGGAAGGGGGAAGAATCCGAGCATGCCCAGTAGTCAGGGGTGAGGTGCACATGTGGCACTCAGCACTCAGCTCACGTCCCACGTGCAGAGTTTAGTCCCATGACGTATCTGCCATGGGAGGCTGGGACGTACTTTAGAAAGGGGAGCAGGTCAGGATAGCTGCTGTTTCCTGTGGCCTGGATTTTACTGGATAAGCGTAGACAATCTAGAATTGAGAGAAGTTTTCTGTAGTATGACTAGGAAGCACATTTCAGATTTAAAGTAATGCCATTCGCAGAAGACAAAGGATATCCACTTTTGAGACAAATCTAGGTTTTAATCCTATCTCTAAGTCTCATCTCTAATTGCTACTAAAATTACCCTTATCTTCTCCTTAAGGGCCATTCAGAAGCCAGTTGAAAATTTTAAGTTTATTCTAAGCACTAGAACGCTGCATTATTCTCTGCTCAAGTAGTTTTCTGTGGCACAGTGATGTCTTCCAGGTGTGTTTGCCCTCCCCTGATTGGGAGCCGAGTCAATAAGCTCATCCTCCTGTCCTGGATCGTGTCCGTGGCTCACGGGCAGATTCACGTTCACGTCTGACTTGTTTCACAACCGAGTTGACCAAAGCAAAACCAGATGCCTCTGTGGGCTGCCCTCGCTACCCGTCCTCTGCCCCTGCGTCCGCGTCCCTCTGACTTCCTTGCCCCGCGGTAACTGCCCTTTCTGTCGTTCCCCAAGATAAAGAACAACGACCTGAATCAGGCAATCCACGAGGAGCGCGAGGCCATCATCGAGCTGCGCGTGCAGCTGCGGCTGCTCCAGATGCAGCGGGCCAAGCCCGAGCCGCCGGGGCCGGAGGACGAGGACCCCGAGCGCCGCGGGGCCCCTGTCCAGCCGCCCAGGGACGGCGCCCTCGAGGCGAAGGCGGCGGCCGGCAAGGAGCCAGCGAAGCCCTCGCCCAGCAAGGACAGGAAGGAGACGCCCATCTGAGCGCGCTGGGAGGCCGCGCAGGCCCGCGCCTTGCCGAGAGGCCCCGGGCACCCCGCTGTAGCACTGAGGGCCAGGCCCGCTCTCTCGCCTGTACATTCTGTAAAGATGTCTCTCTCCTCGAGGCGCTTCCTCTCCCGCGCGTCTGACTTCTTCACGTCAGGCTCAGGTTCCACGAGGACGAAGCAATGGACGTGGTGGGCTTGTCGGGGACAGATGAGTTTTCCAGATAGTGTCGGCTTATTCGAAGATTCATTTTCTCTGTTAAAGTAACTATTTTAACCCTTGAGTGGCTTCTTTTTAAACCAAAAATCGTCTTTCTTTGCTTTTTTATCACAGCAGAATCAGGATCTCGTTCTCATTCAAGGGGGGGAACCAACCAGGCCAGTGCCGCACCTGCCTGTGGACCGCCCCGTCGCGCCCCCAGGATCTCTGTGTACCTAGTCACTCTTGCTTGTGCCTTTCACACCTTTTTGGTGCAGATTATACAATGGGGGGAGCTGCCTCGTGTTCTCTGGCCAGAATAGCTTCTGCCGGGTGTTCCTTGGCCCGCCCTGTAACTCTCCTTGACAGTTCTAAACCACAGCCCCCAAGCCTGAGTCACCAGGACAGGCAAGTTTGGTCACAAGACAGGCTGCCTGTGGAGCCGCCCACCCGCCCCGGGCAAAACAGGCCACATCCTGCTCCTGCCGGCCACTCACTGCCAGTGCCCAGAAAAGGCCTTTCACTGGCTTGGCGAAGGTCGTTGCCTTGACCCGTGCGTTCACACAAGGGTGTTTCTTAAACCAGAAATCTTTTACATGACTGACCTTCCATTAAAAACACAATGACTCCGATTGCTTGCTTGGGCTAGAATGTACACGTCTCCTTGCCTGAATAAGCCATATGTATGCTCTTAAACAAAGGTTTGACATTATCCATATCATCTCAGCGAACCTGCTGGTGGACTCCCAAATGACAAGATTGAGCAATAGGAAAAAATTCCTTTAATGATAGCTGTGATTCATCCCACCCCATTTTCTTGCTTCCAACCCATCGGATCAGATGGGTGCTCGAGGCTTCCAGGAGGCCGGGCTTTGGAGGCAACAGACTGCAGTCGCGCTATCAGGATGCATGGCACCATGAGACAGGCCAGATCTCGTGGCTCGGAAGAGAACCCCACACATGCTCAAGGGGCGGGACAAACCCCACACGAGGGCTCTCTCCTCCTCCTCCTAGTTAGTATTTATTTTCGCACCTGTTTGATGCGGTTTTTTATCCTCTACCTATTGCACTGTTGTGACTTGTTGGCCATTGTTTGATTTTTGTATGGAAAAAAAGCTTTGTTATAGAAATCAGCATACTATTTTTTTAAATCTGGAGAGAAGATATTCTGGTGACTGAAAGTATGGTCGGGTGTCGGATATAAATGTGTAAAACGCCTTCTTGCTGTCCTGTTGGTCCTAGTACATTAACTTTATAGCTGCTGGCAATATCGGAGGTTCCTTTTTTTTGTTTGTGTAAACTCTAATTTCTGTCAAGGTGTCATGGATTTTTAAAATTAGTATTTCATTACAAATGTCTCAACATTGGTTAACTAATTTTTGCCAGACCATTATTGATCAAGCAAATAAATTCAACAGCCTTTTGGGAAAAGGAGAAGCTTCTAGTTTTTTGTACTCATTATTTCTTTACAGTAATTGGGCATCCTGTGGCTAGCAAGGATTTGGTTGAGGTATTTCCTCAGAGCCTCGGAGCAGAGAGTTTGGTGTCTAGCCACCTTCATACCTCTCGCCCCTGCAGACTTGGGCGCTCCGGGACCCAAGCATGGATGCTGGCAGCCATCGTCCTGAACCCATGCTGCTGCTGCGTGAGCCTGTATTTGCAAAACCCACAGGACTGGGCTGGGCCTGCAGCCTGTCTGCACCACGTACCAGTCCGCCTGCCCCTCTTGGCCCTAAGCGTTGCAGTTTACAGACGTTTGGAATTACAGGCATGAGCCATGCGTTTGCATTTCAAACAGAGACTCAGCAGGAGTCTGACCAGTGCGAACCTGTCTGGTATTGACTAGAATAAATAGAAGTTTCCGTTTGCTCTCTTTACTTTGAAAATTCCGTAACTACCTGTCACTGAAAGCTCAAACAGCTGGCTTCCCTATTTTGCATATTTAAATTCAGTAACATTAAATGTACGTCCTTAACTTCTTGATGGAAGGTCTCCGACACCCTGATGTGGCTGCAGGTTTGGAGATAATGAAATGTGAGAACCGGGATCAGCTTCAAAAATGGCATCTAGGCTTGCATGACAGTTTTCTGTTGACTGCAGCTATTTCTGTGCTACAGATTACATTTCTCTTTATTTAATAATGTTTAATGAGCTGGTACTTCCCATGTACAGTAAATATGAGGATATCTTGAAATCTTGAAAACAAACATGACTTTGAGTCCAGCCAGACTGGCATGAGGTGGGGACTGTCATTCTCATTTGAGGGACAGGAAAGTGCCTGAGTTATTCGCAGTTGAAGGCTCCACGTAAAACCCTGCCCTTTTAGGGAAGGAGGGCCGTGTCCCTGGGTGTCTTCAAGACGGGAGCGCAGCAAACCCAGGAGACACCAAAGTGAACTCTGGGGGGGGGCCTTCTGTTACATTCATTGGCTGCCCCCAGCCTGCAAAGGGACAGGATACTCCCAGCGGTCTGGTGACTTTGCTGTCTCTAGAACAGCATGACTCAAAAGAAGGTATTTTCATTCAGCAAAAATGGCAACTCCTTGTAGCTGCAGTGTTTTCTGGACTAACTCTTCACTCTGCTCAGCCTGCAACCCCAGGGCAGTGTCATCTCCTCTGGGGCATCTCCCCTCTTAGGCTGGGCACGCGGCCCTGCCATGACTTAGCATCATGCTGAGCTGTTCTGGGGGCACCTACTGGATGCTGGCCTCTAGAGAATGTTGCCATGTACAAGGAAGAACGTGGGCTTTAGACGGGAAAATTTTAGCTGGTGTCTCATGTCTTCAAAACCTGCAATAAGCCAATCTGGTTGAACTCCAGTTTTCTAAGTGGCAAAATGGTGAAAATAATCCTGACTTCACAAGACTTTAAATAACGGATGATAAAGCACCTGGTGGGGTTTTCGCTTCTTACTCAAATTCATTTGCCCTACAGGACAGGATCTGTCTCAGACATCATTTGACTAAACTTTTTGGTGTAGAGATGAGTCAAGAAGAAACCAAGCATCCTTGAAGATGATGGTCTCGTTTCCTGGCCTCAAGTTTCAGCCACAAAATAAGCTGTGACCAGACCGACTGCCTCCAGTTTAGACAGGAGCTGGACGTTCACAAGCAGCGTCTTGGCTGCATCGGTCATTATTGCCTTCACTGTCACTGCACATCCCTGATACCAAGAGGGAATGCAGTGTCCGTGCAGGCATCCTGGCCAGAGGTCCTGTTGGGGTCAAGATGGCTGGTATGGGAGGGAAAGCAGACATAATTCCTCTCTGAATCAGGACAGCAGTTCCTGTCTTTGGGGCTAGATTCTGGGGACCAAAGGCAAGAGACTGCTAAACACTGCAGCTACAATTAGAGAAAGTAAGAGCCTCTTCTCTGAGAGAGCATCTCTAGCCTTCTGAAAAGGACTGCACCAACAATTCTTGAGTTTCTCGTGGGGAGGGGGGTTTTTATAAAATGTCACGTTAATGCTGTTAAGACTGTCCAGGCCAGGAGCTGTGGCTCACACCTGTAATCCTAGTACTTTGGGAGGCTGAGGTGGGAGGATTGTTTGAGGCCAGGAGTTCGAGACCAGCCTAGGCAACACAGCAAGACTTCATTTCTACAAAGTCTCAAAACATTAGCCAGACATGGTGGCACATGCCTCTGATCCCAGCTGCTTGGTAGGCTGAGGCAGGAGGATCCCTTGAGCCAGGAGTTCAAGGCTGCAGTGAGCTATTATCGAGCCACTGTACTCCATCCAGCCTGGGTGACAGTAAGACCTTATCTCTTTAAAAAAAAAAAAAAGGCTTCCAATGACAGAGTGCACTATAGAAGGAATGGTAAGTTCTCTCAACTGAAAGCATTGGATCAACCCCAGGAAGCTGGCGCCAGCCATGCACACTCCACCACTGGCTGGTGAGGCTGTCACCAAGATTGTCGGCCAGGGGCGCCTTCCTCCAGAAAGGAAGAACTCCCTAAAGAGGGAGCTGTGGTGGAAAGCACCTATTGATGCAGGCTGACCTGTCTGGTTGCCATGTAAACTACAGTAGTGGTCCCCAAACTTTTTGGCATCAGGGCCTGATTTCATGGGAAGACAGTTTTTCCATGGACCAGGGGGTGGGGGAAGGATGGTTTTGAGATGATTCAAGTGAATTACATTTATTGTGCACTTTATTTCTATGATTACATTGCAATGTGTAATTAAGTAACTATGCAACTTGCCATAATGCAGAACTGGCAGGAGCCCTGAGCTTGTTTTCCTGCAACTAGGGGATGATGGGAGACAGTGACACCTGACGCATGTTACTTCTGTTGTTTACTCTGTAACCTTGCTTGGGTTGCTGTCACTGCAGGACGGCAAAGATAGGATGTTGGAAGCGGAAGCAGACTTTTTGGTGCTCCTCTGACAGGAGGTGGAGCTCAGGCAGTAATGCGAGTGATGGGTAGCAGCTGTAAATACAGATGAAGCTTCACTGGGTCACTATTCAGCTCTTACTGTGCAGTCCAGTTCCTAACAGGCCATAGACCAGAACTGGTCTTTGGCTCAGGGGTTGGGAGCCCATGAACTACAGGACACCACACATTTGGACATCAGATCCACAATGGATAGTTTTTTGGATGTCCTGTGCAACTCCAATTTAATTGGGTGTCCTGTATTTTGATTTACAAGTTTGATTTACTTGGCCACCCTGCCTTAGTATCTCAACTAGTAGACGGTTGATAACACTGATTAACACTGTCTAGGAAAGGTTGTGATCTTGAGTGCTGTCCAGGTAACGTGTCATTATTACTAGAGGGAAACAGAAGAGCACCCCAAGCAATCAAATGTGGGGCAAAATACAAGAAATGCTGACCGTATCAAAGGTCAAATTGGGGAGGGGAAGGGCAGACTTAGAATTGACAAGGCTTGGCAGACCTGCTGAATCAGAATTTGCTTTTGAACAAGGTGACTTAGATGCACATTAACTGTTGAGAGGCACCTTTCTAAATTATGAGTTCACTAGATATTTAAAAGCCAGGCAGGGTGCAGTGGCTCACGCCTGTAATACCAACACTTTGGGAAGCCGAGGCAAGAGGTTTACCTGAGACAAAGGATACGAGACCAGCCTGGGTAATATGGCGAGACCTCGTTTCTACAATAAATCAAAAAATTAACCAGGTGTGGTGGTGCACACCTGTGGTTCCAGCTACCTGGAAAGCTGAGATGGAAGGATCACCTGAGCCCAGCAGGTCGAGGCTGCGGTGGCCGTGAGCATGCCACTGCACTCCAGCCTGGGCAGCAGAGTGAGACTTCAACTTAAAAAAAAATTTCCTTCAATAACCAGGCCCCCTTTGCCACTCTCCTTTTGCCTTTGTAAGAGCCAAAATCCTTGAAAGTTACATTCATTCATTCACGTGTCTGACTCCACCCTCAGGCTCACTTAACTGAAAAGGGTCTGAAAACCTGGCCAGGTACAGTGACTCATGCCTGTAATCCCAGCACTTTAGCAGGTGGAGGCAAGAGAATTGCCTGGGTCCAGGGGTTCAAGAGCAGTCTGAGCAACTTGGCAAGACCTCGTCTCTACAAAAAAATCAAAAAGGTAGCCGGGTGTGGTGGCATATGCCTATAGTTCCAGCTGAGGCAGAAGAATCGCCTGAGCCCAGCAGGTAGAAATAAACACACAGCAATGCTGCAGAACATTACATGGACTAAAACCTGATCGTTGGCCATTGTCAAATTGGGAAAATAATTCTTAAGGAAAATAATTTCTGCAAGACAGAACTAAAACTACTTCATTCTCTATAGGAAATGGATGAAAGAATTAAGCTGCAGAAGATACCTCCCACAAAATATATAGTTGTTGGACTTTTTGTTTGCAAAGTGTTCTCAAGGTCAAAACATCCATTTGAGAGATCACAAAATTGCCTGTTTTGGAGTTTCTGGTGGAAGGAATTGAGGCCTGGAACTCCTTCCCCTCCAGGGCACTTAGAAACCATGACACACAGGTGGAAAAGGCCTCCCTCCCCTGGAGACTCCCACTATCCTTCCCCAGGAAAGTTCCACCTCTGCGATGCTCAATGACCATGACAGCTGATGAAGCCTCAAGGCAGGGACTAGCAAACACGCAACAGGCCCCAGAGTCTTGCTTTTTAACATTTATTTCCAGACCCAGTTTCCTCCCTAGTTGGGAGTCGTAGGATTAATTTTAAGGAGGGCATTTACTTGGCTCTGCGTTGCTGGAACTTTCCCTTGAAATTTCCTCCCCTTGACTCACTGGTATTGACTCCAGAACCTTTGGAGACATTAGCCCATGCTATCCTCCCAGACGACAGCTCACAGCCAGCTGCTCCCATGGCTCCCCCATACACCAAGCATAGAAATCAGCTCAGGACTGTAGAAAATGGGACCTACACTAATTAGGTATGAGAATGACAGAGTTCAGAAGTGCCACTCCAAAACATGCCACTTAGGGCTTAACCTGAGGGCATCTGGGAGCAGTCAATGCAGGGAGGGGCTTTCTCTGAACGTCCCTCCTCTGCCTAAGACAGATCCTCCAAAGGAACTCACGTGCCATGAGTCCCCTTACCAGGAATCATCGTCCAAGAGAGAACTTGCAGCACAGCAGAGGGACCAAGGCTGACATCCCGCCCATCACACTCAGTCACCTCTTCTCCCGAGGGCCCATTTACCTTCCAGGAAAGTCATTTGCTTTCCCCCTAAATAGCCTATACCCTGCTCCTTGTCCTCTTTGAAGAGAGTATGTCTGGCTCTCACTGAGTTTGGGGATATCCACCCTTTCTTCATGGGAGCCCTACGCTTGTAGAAATTTATGTGGCTCTTCCGTTAATCTGCCTACTACCAATTGATCTCATAGACTCAATTACTGAACGCTGAGGATAGAAGGAATCTCCCCTCCCATACAAGCCTGCTCAGCGGACTGAAGAGTCACCTAAGACAGCTGTGGCAACAAGCCGGCAGTCTTAGTTCTTAGTCTTAGGATGCTGGCACAGTCGCTTTCTCGGGAACTCAACACTTGGTAATTTAGAGTTAGAGGGCTCAAAAAAAACTAGTGGTCTGGCATCACAGAGCTCTCTCCAAGACTTCAGGACAAAGGTCAAGTGCAAAAAGGTAGCCACTCCGCACTCCAGTCCTCCAAGCAGCCTAAACAGGAAGTCTGGTTCCCGAGGGCTAGGTGCAGTCAGTGGGAATGCAGATGCTCACCCTGAGCTTCCAGAGACCCCAAGCTTGTAAACATGCATCCCCAGATGAGGGAGGAGGCAGCAGGGATGGTGACCTAAGATCCAGCCAGCTGGGCACAAGCAGGGACCCCACGCCAAGTGCACCCCTGTGTGGAAGGGGGTAGCAGGGAAGTCCCTGGGGGGGAGGGGAGAGATCACACAAGGATGAGGTACAGTGGCTAATGAGTTTTTCTGAAAATTATGGCTTTTTTCTTCATCCTGAGTTACTCAGAAGTCCTAAAATACCAGAGAATAGGCCAGGCTTGGTTGCTCAGCCTGTAATCCCACCAGCACTTTGGGAGGCTGAGGCGAGTGGACTGCCTGAGCCCACAGGTTTGAGACCAGCCCAGGCAACTTGGTGAGACCTCATCTCTACAAAACCCAGAGAATATCTGCTGCAAAAGCTGCTCAATATTAGATACCTGTAAGTGATAGGGTTTGTAGGGGAATGGGACAGGAGGTTGTAGTTAAAACAACTCATCATATAAACCAAAGGGAGCACAGAGTTGCAATGACCCAAGAAGTTAACACTGGATCATAAAGCAAGAATAAGAAACCCAAGGCTTACTGTAGTAGCGTCTATAGGACGTAGCCCATGTGCTCCCAAATCCCTTGACCACCAAGGTTCAAGGGAAACTATTTCTGACTTCACAAGGAGTCTTCACTAGCTGAATAAATAAAACCAAAACTCACAGAAGCACCACGGGGACTCAGGTAGTCAAGAGTTTGTCAAATGGAGCACGTAAGAGCAGCTACCATTACATGCACAGCACATTACAAAAGCATCTTCACATATGATCATGTTTGACTGCAAACCCTGTGAGGGACAGGATAGCTTTTCCTAATTCTCATTTCACAGGTGAAGCAATGGAGGCTCCGAGGTGCTTTGCTGTGTCTCAGGAGCTGCAGGATAGTACCTGGGGCCTGCTCATCCCTGCTGGCTTCCTAGAGCAAAACCCAACCCAGGGAACACAGGCAGGTTTCAAAGAAACGACTAAACTAGGTAAAAGACAAATATTTTAATCTAGTTTCCCCATTTTATACTAAATTAATACAGGTCACAAATTGCATTTATTCATAGACATCTAGAAAACAAAAGTGTATATATCTCTCTCTAGATCTTATTAATAAATTTTATTTGGACAAGAGAACTTGTGCCACAACAGTTTGAACAGCATGATTAAAGACTGCAGCACTCTCAAGAGTGGTCACAGATAATAGACAGTGTGTGAAGAAAAGTTGCACCTCAGAGCTGATCATGATCAAGTTAAAAACACCTGACATACAGTATACATGCTAATACATTTCCTTCAGGTCATGACCAGCATGAAAAAAATCAGGACATAGATACTCAGCAAATGCTCTGTAAATGTGTACAGCAATATGCTGCATTTAAGGTTAAAATCAGATCCTACTTTAGTGTTAGCATCAAGCCCTTAGGAGTACAAAAGAAAAAGTCTCCTTTCCCATTTACACACATCAAAAACTATTCACACTTAGGGCTGGGTAGGGCTGGGTTGGGCTGGGCAGCTCGCCACAAAACCCAGCAGGTCCTTGCCTGGAAGAAAACAGGGCTAATACTGAAGGTCTTTCACATCTGGTGCACATCTGACTTCTGGCTATACAAATTTCATTTACTGGTCGTTAAATAAAACCAGGAGAAAGCAATGCAGGTCTCTGGGAATCTCATCCTTTCCATAAGGAAAATGCTCTGCCAATTCAAGTTTCATTCAGTCAGGAAGACAGAAGGATTTAAGGCTTCGGTGACAATTATAATCCTCTGAGAAATTATTTTCCCTTAAAGTCAAGATAAGATAATAGTGTTTACTGTACTTTCTCTTGACTCGTAAAAATCCCTGGTATCAGGTGTAGGCAATTTGCACCTGCAATTAAGTCTGCAGGAGAGGAAAGGTGTCTCCTCCCCAGAAAGCCATCCCAGATCACTCGCGTGTGGAGCGCTTGTCGAACCTCAGCTCTCATGGAAGCAGGAAAGACACCAAGATTCAAGCCTTCTAGTAGGTTGAAGAAGCTGTGCTCATGGCATCTTCAGAGATTTTGGTACTGGCAGGGTGGATACTTGCAAAGTACTTAACATCACTGTCCCGGTCCATCTGAAGCGCCATGATGGTCTGCTCCACAGCTTCCTGATGGCAGCTGGCAGAGGCTAGGAAATATTCTGGAAATGACAAGTGCACAGTACAAAAGAAACGAGCCACAACATTTCAGCGCTTTGTCAAGTACAGTATAAAAGGTTCCTAGTCATTATAAAACATGCTGTTTCTATGAGTATGAACAAAGACCATGTTAAATTATAAACACTAATCCAAACTGATTTGTTTTAGGAAAAAAAATTCTGGAATAAAGATAATTATGAGATTTATCTTGCTTATATGATAGACTCTCATGATGCTCAATGACAGCCAGATCAATATATGAAAACATTATACTTCTTGCTATTCATTAGCTTAGTAAAAGGAAAAACTCTTCCAAACACCAACTACACACACAGCTCCCTAACCAGTCTCTCCAGCCACTTTGCTATTTTAAAAATTTAAGTGGCAAAGGAAAAAAAGGGAAAAAATCATCTTTTATCCTTATTTTTTGCAGTCTGCTATTAATTTCTTTCTGTCTTCATTCATGAGTTCACACATAAAACTATGTTTATGAGGCATTCGAAGGAAGGGCAGTTACAATAAATAAAACATCCCAAGTCTTGAGAAGCTTATAATTTCCAGCAAAACAAACACTATGGGGCATCTGTCTTCTGCCTGAGAATGAAGAGAAGGAGGGGGAGCACACATGCCTCCCAGTCCCAAACAGCAAGTGGCACGCTGCCCGCAAAGACTTGTCAGTCCTAAGCAAATACCCAATTTTGAGAACAGCCCTTCTTATCTATAATACTCAGCAATCTATCACAGAAACAAAGAACTGAGTACCACATGTACTCCCTCAGAAGCAGACCCTGAATATTTGTCATAATACTGTAAGAAAGGGATTGGCAGTAATGAGAAACTGCTGGGGGGGAGGCGGTGTGAGGGAGGAGGGAGGCACTTAACAACATAAAGACACCTGTCTCAAACCAGGCGAAGCGAGGACCAAAGGAGGCCCAAACTTCACCTGTGCAATGACCACTTGTATACCTAAATCCTGAGTTGTACCCCACATCTTTAAAATTAAGTAAAATGTGCTTTGAAAAATTTCTCCAAAATTCTAAAAAATAAATAAATAAAACTACTCTTCTAAATTACAAAAATGATACATGCCCATGATTAAAAAAATCTCTCCCAGAACAGTAGAGTGCTAAGTGAAAGTCCCTTTAACCTTCTGTGTCCTCCTGGGAGAACCACCAGAATAATGACAATCTTGCTCCTTCTACCAGATGACTGTCTACGAGCAGACAATACTTGAGCTTTGACATCATCTATTCGGCCCAGTCCATGAGCCTCCATCTGCCCCCACACTTCTTCTAATGCGTCTCCTACCTACCTTTTTCTAGGAGAGTTTGTCTTAATGTTTTCGCAAGCAGTACTCTGACATTTGGAACCCGATCGTTCGCTAACGTTAGCAAATGCGGCATCAGATGCACGGCAAACTGGTCCATGGGAAGGCAATCATCCTCAATGACAGTCTGGGGGAAAGAAACCACTGCTTTACATTTTGCTGTCAATTCAGCCAACAAACTATAATACTAGTTAGCAAAATCTTTTAGTGACAACTTACTGACAAGTACACATTTTAGTTACTGCTTTTCAACTAATATTCCACGTACCTGGAAACTCAAAATAAAAATTACTTAACCGCCCACACAGACATTTTTATTTTTTTCTAAAGAGGCAGGGTCTTGCTCTGTCACTTATGGTGGAATGCAGTGGCTCAATCATAGCACACTGTAACCTCAAACTCCTGAGCTCAAGTGACCTCCCACTTCAGCCTCGAGTAGTAGGACTACAGGAATATACTGCCATGCCTAGATAACTTTTTTTATTTTACTTTTGCAGAGACGAGGTCTTGCTATGTTGCCTGGGCTATTCTCAAACTCCTGGCCTCGAATGATTCCCTGCCTCAGCCCCCTAAACTGCTTGGATTACAGGCATGAGCCACTGTGGCCTGTCCAGGCAAAATTTTTAAACTGCTTTACAGAGACTTGGAGTGTTCAGTCATACCTTCATTTTCACACCTGCACTCTAGCCCCAGACACAAGTACCCTCTAGTGGGAGCCTCTATGGTATGTGTATGCATAGTGTGTATGGGGTATGGTACACATTTGTATGCATGCACACAAGTAGGTGTGTGTGGTGTGACACATTCTTGTGTGCACATACATGCAATATGTGTACATGTATGTATGCATGCATACATGCATGGCATATGTGTGAGATGTCCCATCTTTTTAGAATGAGCACTGCTAAGTGGGGGAGGAAAGGGCCAGCTCAAGAGGACAAGCCAGACAGATGCCCAACCATGAGGAACAGATGCCCATATGAAGACTATGGTAAAGCTCTGTTCCTTAAGGATGAGGAGAGGGTGTGAGAGAAGCAGGGAGTACAGGAAACATAGTTTGAGGAGAAAAACTCACAAGGGGGTCAACCCATATCCTCGCCTACCTGGCAGACGAAGACGAAGGTTTGCCGCCCTGACCACTTGGGACACCTGCCAAAATTTTCCACCAGCTCATTGATGAGGTCCATCCCGAAAGTCGGCGGGGTCGCCATGTGCAGCTTCTTCACCATCTCGCTGACCTAGGAGGGCAAGCACAGAGGAGTGAGGAATGGCTTCTGCTCACTGATCTTACAAAACAGCTTGCTAATCTACAACTGTAAACCTTAACACATACCAACTTGTAGGAAATCCAACGAACAGAAGAAACTTTGTCCGCACAGAGATTCAGAGCAATGGGCCGTAAATAGTCGTAAACATCTCTTGGACTATATAACTCGAGAAGTAAAATCAGCTGCCTACAAAAGGAATTACAAAAAGACAAAGTTTAAAATTCAGTAAGACAAATGAAAATAGGTTACACATCTGAATAATCAGTAATGCTGGATACTGAATACTTGTAAGATAAATTCATGCTAAGACTAATGTCTAAGCAGGCCTCTCCTATAAGGAATTACCCCTAGTCTCTGAATATGTGGAAATGCATTTAAGCACTTTGAGTTCAAGGAGTATCTCCTCCCACTAGAGGAAAAAGAGAACAAAAGTGAGAGTTCTGTCCCCTGGGGATTAAAAAAGCACGTCCTAGTATGTGCAACTGGAACACAGCACATATTTATCCAAAGTGATGGGTCAGAATATGCTAAGAAGCTACCATCTGTAAGTCAGTTATCTTGATGAGAAGTCTCAGCAGACTGAAACAGCCTGCCTGTACCTGTCAAGACTGAGCGGCTCCCAAGGAAAGGGTACATTTGCAAGCGATGGCAGAAATGGGGTCCTCTAACAACTCTCCTATCACATCTGAGGGAATCTGAGGACTTTCACAACATCCACCAACTAGTTTGAGTAGCTGCAATGACACCTTGAATAAATGAGACTTTGCCTTTCAGATCTTATGTTTAAGACTGTTTACATTTCTCATCAGCAGGAAGGGAACCATAAGAATGAATACAGATAATGCAGCAGTGGCAAACACACCTATATATATACATAAACATAAATCCTCGGAGAGACATACTTATTTTCTGACACAAAAGTTTAAAAATCCCAAACAAGACTTCTACATCTGCTTAGGATACAGAAAGCTGCAAAGAATGTCGGTAAAAATCTGTTCTTGAGTCCATCAGAGAACTGAGGTTGCAAGACAACCAGATAACCCAACTTCCCAAGAGCTGACAAGCCCCCCCACCCCCAGGAGAGACAGACAACACAAATGGTTTCACCTGAGCAGAGCACAGAGGGAGAAGGCACTTACTGCCATGCAGGAGGGTGAGAAATAACCAGTGAAATCATGGCAGCAGCTGCCAGGGCCCTCATCTGAGTCTGCATGGAGGGAGAATGACACAAAGCCACATGTGCCAGACACAAGAGCTCATACTCCCATGCAAAGCCTCTGACCTTCACAGGGTACCTGCCTCTTGTGGGTGTTTACCAGAAAGACTGGGGCCAGAAAAGGAAACGGGGAGAAGTTACTCAGCAGGCACAAGCGACTGACAGATGTGATGCCAGTGGACACTCCCCTGGGCCCCTTTCTCATGCAAGACAAAGGCTTTAAGGGACTGGTGGAGAGGCACAAAGTCCGTGCACCCCCTGGGCACAGGCACAGACACACCGTAGCCGGGAAGAGAAGAAAGAAGACTATTCCAAGAGAAGGGGCAAGAAATCTTCTTAAACCAATACCCTACATTGATACCAAGCAAAAATCTTCTGCTAGGAGAGGGGCAGGAAGTCCTGCACAAGACAAACCACAGATACGGGTAGAGACTGAATGTCACAGGGTGGGCAGTGATTCTGAGAAAGCCCAGACAAACAGGCCTCCAAAGACTGAGGATGATCCCAAACCAGAGACTCTTGCCTTTCCTAGCATGAACCCTACCCATTATGCAGGGGTGCAGGGATAGCTGAAAGCTGGGTGGAAAGCCCATACTAGAAAAAGTCCATTGGCACCCCAGGTCCCACCCTCAGCAAATAGTACTGGCAACCTACAGCAAGATAAAATCCATAGTGCACCGAAGATAACCAGCAACAATGAAACCCAAACCCAGCTTGATCCCGATTAGATGAACTCACACACTCACACTAGTGGCAGAAGAGGCATGTCCATTTCAAGTCAAAAGTGGGCACACCACATTCAGTGAAGTGACATCTTTAATATACTGAATGAAAAACTGTCAGTCCCAAATTTTATACCCGGCAAAGATAGTATCATAAAGAACTCTAACAAAACTCAACGACCCAACACCACACTATTTAAGATGAACCCAATTTTAAAATGGGCAATGGATTTAAATTGACATTTATTTACAGAGTACATGCAAATAATTGGCAAAAATAATTAAAAAGTGCTCAAGATCATTAGTCTTAAGAGAAATGCAAATAAAAGTCACAATGAGAAGCTATTTCACACCCATTAGATTTACTAATTAGCCTGGTCTGCTCACTGTACATTATAGTATTGCCACATCACTATATACCCCATAAATATGTACAATTACTACTTGCCAAATTTTAAAGAGAGGAAAACAGCAGGTGTCAGGGAGGATGTAGAGAAATTGGAACCCCTGTACACTGCGGATGGGAATATACAACAGTAACAGCTGCTGTGAAGAAGTCTGGCAGTTCCTCAACAAAGTAAACACAGAATTACCATATGACCCAGCAAATCCCTCAAAAGCATCAAAATCAAGTTTCAAATAAAAGCTACATGGATGTTCACAGCAGCACTACTTGCAATGGCGACACACACCCAACCTGGATGAATGAATAAAGTAAATGTGGTATATCTAAGACAATGGAATATTACTCAACCATAAAAAGGAATGAAAGCTCGGATATATGCTACAATGTGCATGACCCTTGAAAACATGATGCTGCCGGGCTCGGTGGCTCAGCCTGTAATCCCAGCACTTTGGGAGGCTGAGGTGAGTGGATTGCCTGAGCCCGCGGGTTTGAGACCCACCTGGGCAACTTGGTGAGACCTCACCTCTACAATAAAATTTAAAAAATTAGCCAGACGTGGTAGCGCACACCTGCAGTTCCAGCTACTTGGAAGGCTGAGGCAGAAGGATCGCCAGAGCCCAGCTGGTCGAGGCTGCAGTGGTCAGGAGCGTGCCACGGCACTCATCTGGGTGACAGAGTGAGACTCCAACTCAAAAAAAAAAAAAGAAAGAAAGAAAACATGGTGCTAACTGAAGAAACCACACACACAAAAGGCCGTATATGATTCTACTTATGCTAAATGGGCATGGGCTTTCCTTTTGGGATGACAAACTATCTTAGAACAAGATACTGATAGTTGCACAACACTGTGAATGTACTAAATATCATAAATGGCAAATTTGGTTATATGTATTCCACCACAATTAAAAAAATACAAACGATGAAATAAAGACTTTTTCGAGAAGAAAAAAGTTAAGAAAATTCACTGCCAGAAAGACCTGTACTACACGAGATGTTAAAGCAACAGGATACCAGACAGAAAGTTGGACCTACACAAAGTAATGAAGAAATTAAGAAAAGATAAAAATGCAGTATTTATCCCTCCAAAACACAATCTAGTGAATTTTTAGAACTTACTCAGCCAGTTCAGCTCGAAAGCGCCAATTTCTACTATTATCTGTCACCAAAAACTCCTGAAGTTGATAAAGATATTCTCTTCTTTTGTCAATATGAAGAAGCTGAAGTAACAAAATAAAAATATTTACTAGGACATGGTATAGACATCATTTATTTTACTAGAGTGCTTGAAAACAGACTATAAGTAATGGTTAATTACTCTGAAAAAGAAATGTATACCTGTATTGAATTGTTTTAAAAGTTGCCATTAAATTCATTTTTCCCAGAAAACCCCATTTGCCATTAAGAATCAACATCTTTTGAAATCTTTGTTTTTCAGCCTGTTAGTGACCTACACTGAAACCCCCTTGGGCATAGCTTTGTTACAGTACTCATCACTGTATTTATATGACATCCTTATTACCATGAAGCCTTTTGAGCCTTTTGATTTTTTTTTGGGGGGGGGGGTTCTTCACAGTAAAAAATTATGTTCTTAACCATACATGTAAGCCTAGTGTATGGCACTATAATGGCATGCAGTAGATATTCAGTATTTACTGTATGAGAACATAAAAAGAAATGTATCCCAATAGTTGCTCTATAAATATTTAAAAGCAGAGTGTCAACAAGAGGGAAAACACTAAAATCTGATCTAAACAGAAGCAACTAGACCTAATTGTACACCCAATCTATGCAATCACACAGGGAAAAAAATATAAGTCTGAATTCAGTACTCTGACCATTCATTTTCATGGTATATGTTCTAAGAACACAGAGTGCCGAAGGGCATCTTGAACATTACTCAGTTGATGTGATGTTGCAATTACTATTGGTGGAGAAGGTCTGAAACTATTTGACGTATGCTGTAGACTTGAGCCAATGACTAAATATATTAATGTGATTACAGAGATTTTGTCATGAGTGAAGAGAAAATATAAAGTGAAGGGGGGGGTGGTACTGAACTGGAAGTGTTCTTATCAACATGAACTTAACAATTCAATAAAGAAACAACAAACTTCCTAGCTCCTGTCCTTGAAAATGCCTAAAAGAAATGACATCCTGGGAGTAATGAGCCCATCTAGTGCCTGGATCTTGGTTTCTAAATACTGTTCTCCACTAAAAAGGACCAGGGCTCCTTGGAAAAACAGCTGACTCTAGGCTGGGGCAAGGAAGGAAAATTTGGGACTGGAAGTAAGGATGTGCTTAAAAATGTGAAGGCAAACCAAAAGGACACAGGAGACACCTTTAAGGAGTTCACATTGGCCAAATCTGACACTTAACACATATGACAGAAATGTATTACATTAAACAAAAATCCTAGAGTCCATACTGATACTTTTAAAGTTTTCAAAAGGGGGGAGAAAAGGGACAGTTTATCTTTACACAAAAATGTCAATAAAAATAGAAGCAATTATGAAAACAGAAAACTCACTATTTTGCAATCAATACAGAGAACCATGTATGGATGGATGCATCAACATAAGAGCTGTGGTGAAAGACTTAGGAGAAAAAGATGTTCACAGAATTCAAAAGCATCACCTTCTCAATTACTTATTAATCACAAAAGTAAAAGGGTATTTTATAATGGAGACACCTGACACCACCATAACTAAATTATCAGACTCATCATGACTAATGATGGGAAGAGTAAACACCACATTACTCCTGATGTGATGCATTTGGAAAAACACATGATGATCTTTATAAACAGGTAATATGTCTTCAAAAAACCCTGTTTACCCAGAATCAAACTGTATAATAACATTCAGGCAAATTCCAACTGAGGGGTTTTCTGCAAAGCAACTGGATTTGCCAAATCACGTCTAGATCTAAGAGGATTAAAGAAACACAACATTTAAAGTCAACATGCGCTTCTTGATGGGATTCTGAATCAAGGGGAGAAAAGCTATAAAGGACTATACTGGGACAACTAGAAACATTTCAATATATTTATATAAAACGTAACTCCATGGTATCAATATGTTTCAAAAAGTAGGATTATAATTACTTCTACAACTCAAATGAGAGGACGAAAGGTAAATCTCAGATTCCCGAACTACCACAAAAAGCCCCAAACTTAATATACAGTTGATCATGAGCAACGTGGGTTTAGACTGCAAGGGTCCAATGGTATCTGGATTCTTCTCCCCCCAGACAGAGGAGGAATGAAGAGACAGCATTCCTGGAACATGAAACTCGAGTACATGGAAGGCTGCTGACTCTCTGCACATGTGACTTCCTCAAAGCTGGCTATAGGATGCGAGTATGTGTGGATCTGGGCATAGGCAGAGGTCCTGGAACCAACCCCCCACAGATACCAAAGGATGACTGTAGTTCATGAAAATTTTTCCATACATGTTATTCAATAATTTTGAAAAATAAAAAAGGTACAAATGTCTGTAATCATGATCTAGCATCATTTAAAAATGAAATTTAGCCTAATTATGGGATTAGTTCTTCTATAAATCACATCTTAACATCAATTCATGGCTCTATTTTCTTTAGGAACATACAGAAATCTAGCTTGGTGACAGTAGTTACAGATTTAGATTTACTAGAGAATTTTAGTGAACTCCTGTGCAAAATAACTTAAAAGTTACCTTCAGAAAATCATGCAAGTGTTTGAGGACACCTATCCTGACTTCATCAAGGTCTTTTAAAAATCCATTAAAAATTGGAACCAGATCTGCTGCTGTCAATTGATCTCCGAGAATTACTGCAAGCTCATGGATGGAAAAGGCTAAAGTTCTTCGAACTTTCCACTGTAAAAATGAAAACTGCATCAGTGAGATGACCGCAAAGTGTTGAGTACTTTAGCTTGTAGACAACACATGAAGGTTAATTTATATGAACATTACTAATCTAAAATAATTAAATCCGAATAGAAAAGTAGTAATGATAGACACTGTTTTAATTGCCTATTATGTATTAAAATGTACAACAAAAAAAAAAACTTTTTTTTTTTAATTGTAGAGACGAGGTCTTGCCAAGTTGCCTGGGCTGGTCTCAAACCCACAGGCTCAGGCAATCTACTCACCTCAGCTTGCCAAAGTGCTGGGATTACAGGCTGAGCCACCGAGCCTGGCCATAAAACATCTGATAACTCTCCATTAACTCCCTTTCATCAATGAAAAAAGCGAAACCTCATCTCTACAATAAATCAAAAAATCAGCCAGGCGTGGTAGCACATGCCTGTAATTCCGGCTACTTGGAAGGCTGAGGCGGAAGGATCACCGGAGCCCAGCAGGTCGAGGCTGCGGTGGCCAGGAGCGGCCACTGCACTCCAGACTGGGTGACAGAGTGGCACTCCAACTCAAAAAAAAAAAAAGAAAAGAAAGAAAGAAATAACAATATGGTTTTCACAGTCCTGTGAACATTAGATCCCTGATACATTGATGTCTCACATGTATCAAAGACTATCTAGTTCCATCCTCACTTCACTGCTCCTCGTCAGATTCCTGTAAAGCCTATCTTGGATTAAAAAACAACAATAAAACTTGTTTTAAAGAAATTGACAACTTCAGAAATACAAGATAGAAAAAACTGCATACAGCCCTGAAAAAGAAATCCTAAACAGAAACATCTTAATTTATAGTAATTTTAAGCCCAAGACATCTTATTCTTCATGTTGTCTTAATTTTAAAATTTTTACACCACTGCTTAGCTTAAAACTTGACCTAATGAAAAGCAGTTTAGAGCAAAGGCTTTATTTCCTCCCACCTACCACTGCTAGAATTCATTCCTGAAATAAAACTGTATGCCCACATTCAAAATATAAAACAGAAGACAGCAGAAATGTTCATCTGGAGGAAAAGAGACAGCAGGAGCAGGAAACTCTGCCATCCCAGAGCCTACCTAGTCATCCCTAAGACCCTGAAGGACCCATCCCACAGGAACCCCTACAGTTCTGTGGAATACGGACTGAAAACCACAAATACAGCACACAGAACTCATGTGTGATCCCATACCCAGAGTGATCCCATGCCCAGATCCAACACTTAAGAAGTGTATGAACAAGGATCATTTACTTCCCCTGGGCCCTCATTTCCTAACCTCATAGCTTAGAGGAGGAACTTGAACTGTGTTCTCTCAAGATTACTTTCGACTTCTAATATGCTGAGTCAACAGCATTGATTCCTTGAAAAATACAATAACCACTGAGAAGTGTAAGGAAAAGTCATTCATTATTTCAGCATAAATCTGCCCAACCGACTGCTTTCTTAATAACAGAAATGAACTTTACTGATGGAACACATTTGCTGAGAGAGGGACAAATTTTGGGTACACAAAAATCAGACTTAGCAGCAGAGGCTAAGTCATCAAAACCTAGGGAAAGCACCACAAAAAAGTCACATATATTCAGACAAGGTAACCCAGGCTAAGGGTTTGCCTTTTGTCTTCTTTTGAAGCAGGTGGCGGCATGTGAAGAAAAGGAGAAAATAAGAACTGCTGGACTCCTTCCATCTGTACTGCAATGCACAAAGCACTCAGGGACCAAAACCAAGCACAGCTAACAATACTACAGCTCTATGACAGCTTTAAAAAAATGTTTTAAGATCTAGCATAAAAATCAAATAAGCATTTTTAACATTATTTCCAGAGAAAAAAATTAAATCTTATGTTCTCAAGAAGTAAACTACAGATATAAACTCTAGATGATGATAAATTTTAAGTTAGGAACATAGACATGTCCAACATGATAACCATTTCTAATGCTTTAGCTAAAAATAAAGAAGCCAAACTGTAGAACTGTAGAACTCTGACACTGCAAAAAGAATGCTCTCTGGTATTACTTTTAAGTTCTTCCATACATTATTTCCTGTAACACTAAGTATATGCTAGAACATGAACAGAAACTTTTAGATTTTAAAAGGCAAAAGACTGTGCCTTCCACATGTACACTCTGTTAATTCTTTAACAGCTGTACTCACCTGCATGTCCGAGGCCAGAGTCTCATAGGTCTCTCTCAAGCAGTGCCAATTCTGTCTGCCAAGTGTCAGGGCCACACCTGGGAGGCTATATGCACAGTGCTTAGCAATTTCAGTGTCAACCGTCTGTGCACGAGAGGGGTCAGTCATGGATAAATACTGATCTAACAAAGCCTGAGGCACAACATCCTAATGAAGAAAGAGAGTTAACAAATGACTGAGCAGTTTAGATGCATTGTAAGCAGTTGAGACAGAAATTAGGCAAAATTAAATATATAAATGTTAACACAGAATTTCAATTGGTAGGAAAAAGACCAATGTCAAATTTTCAGGTATCTAATAACTGAAAAGAGGTAAGAAAAACATGCTAAAGTCAGGCTCAGTGGCTCAGCCTGACTCCACTTTGGGAGGCTGAGGTGAGTGGATTGCCTGAGCCCGCGGGTTCGAGACTCGCCTGGGCAACTCGGCGAGACCTCATCTCTACAATAAATCAAAAAATTAGCCGGGCGTGGTCGCGCGTGCCTGTAGTTCCAACTACTTGGAAGGGTGAGGCGGAAGGATCGCCAGAGCCCAGCAGGTCAAGGCTGCAGTGGCCGGGAATGGCCACTGCACTCCAGTCTGGGCGACAGAGTGAGACTTCAACTCAAAATAAATAAATAAATAAATAAAAACACGCTAAGGGAAACATGCACATATAAACTTTAAAAAGCAACTCTAAGAGAACAATGAATAAATAATCCCTCAAAACAATACAGCTTAAAGGTCAATTAGAATTAATGACTAAATTTAAAAGATATGTCAAAATAACACCAGTTCCTTTCAATGTAGGCAGAAATGATAGTTTGAAGCAGGTTAGCAAATGCAGTAATTTTAAAGAAAACAAAGCCTGCCTTCTTTGGATAAAAATGTAGGCAATTAACTGTTTAAAAATTGAACTTAAACATGTAACTATTTATGTAAATGTGAAGAAGAGAAAAATGTATATACAATCTTGCTTTAGGTACATATATAGATAGCTTTGGAAGGTTAAATAAAAGAAAGATAAAATTGTTTGTTTCTGGGCAAGAAAAATGGATGAGTGGAGAAGAAAAACTAAGAAGGAATGTCAGTGAATGGCTTTTATATTGTCCAAAATTTGAGATACTAAAAGGCATTTACTGATGGATCTTGAATTTTGAACCACAAAAAACTATTACATATATATAAAAACTAAAATGGAAATAGACTCATTTAAAAAATGAGATAAACGTATTGACTTCAGAATATGTCTACAATTTAAGTGGGAAAAGTATGTTTCAAAACACTATAATAATTCCATTTTTATGAGCCTTTTTTTAGATTTTTAAACCTGACATAGAGCTGTATTTTATAGTCATCAGCAACTTAGGCATGAGGGAATTCCTAGGATAGAATGACCATAACTGTCTTTGAAGGATAAAAAGAGGCATATGTATGTTTATGCACCCACAAAAACACAGGCAAGAACAGAGCAGGAAGTGTGATCCACAGTCACTTTGAATGCAGAACAGGAGCACAGGCAGGAAGGGAAGATTTGTGCTTACATATTACTGTCTACTATTTTCATTTGGGTGGCTGTCCCCTCCAAATCTCATGATGAAATGTGATCCCAAGTGGGCAATAACTGTATCATGAGGGCAGATCCCTCAAGAATAGATTGGTGCCATTCTCAAGGTAACGAGTGAGTTCTTGCTCTATTCATGTGAGAATTGGCTGTTTAAGGAGTCCGACACCTCCTCTCTCTCTTGCTTCTGTACTCATGTGACACGCCTGCTCCCTCTACACATCTTCCTCCATGACTATAAGCCTTATATGAGGCCTCACCAGAAGTTCAGCAGATGCTGGTGCTATGCAGAACTGTGAGACAGAACAAACCTCTTTTCTTTATAAATTACCCAGCCTCAGGTATTCCTTTACAGTAATGCAAACAAACTGATAGAACACACTAATCATAGTTTTTAAAACACTCACCATGAAAAAAGGTCAAATTAGGTCAGAAGTAGACTTTAAAAGAGGAATTAAGAACACATACACAAAAGGAAGCATTTTTTGCCACTTACTTGTACTTTAGTTCTCCTTTCCTCATCTGGGCTAAAACTACTATTGGTGCTCAAGTCTGAGTCATTATGAATATAGCGAAGAGTGGAGTCCATATTCTGTTAGAAAAAGAGGCAGACTTGAAGAGCTACCCTGTCTGTAAAGTTTCCTCATTTCAACTATCTTACCAAGTCACTTACCTTTCAAGGCTACCAAAAGATATAAATTAATTCCTCATGATTTCAAGTTTACAAACATACCTAAGACCTCACAAGAGCCCCCCACTACCTTAAATCTAACTTGCTGAATAGGTGACTAAATGTATTAAAACAAATTCCAGAAAAGTAAGAATAATTAAAAAGTAAATTTGAAAGTAATTTTAAATGGTACAAATAGCTCAAATTAGTTTATTTAAAAAATAGTATTGAGAGGATTCTTTGACCAATAGTTTTAGAGACCATGGGGACTCATATATGCAATTTTTCTTCTCTTTCTATTCTTGCTGTTAATATCTAATTCCATAAATATATATATGTGTGTGTATATATATATATATATATTTTTTTTTTTTTTTTTAAAGCCCAAAATAGTAACAACAACAAACATCTCTGAAATGCGGATATATTATAGTACTAAACTCTCCAAAAAACAGTCAGGGTTTCAATACCACACTCTGGTATTATATAGATTCCTAACTCTATCTGAAGTCATCTAACAAAAATCAAAACAGAAATACACTAGAGTTCTGAATTCTTTTGCCATTCTCAGTGTGTGTAGGTGCTCTTTCCTAAGCTGCTTGTTCAAGCTGCTAGGATCTGGGACCATTTGATTCTGGTAATTGGTTGTGTATTCCTTTTCCATGGTTACATAAACAAGGGAAAAGAAACACTGATACCAAATAATGCTGGCTTGATGGAGATGCAGTTGGAAATTAGGGAAGGATCATATAGAACACCTACAAGTACACAGCAAAGATAATTCTGGGAACAGTACCCACCCTCACACTCCAGAGTCCAGATAATGCCACTGGCCCTCCGCACATGGCCTCAAGTCCCGATCTTCCGCTCAGAATACGGTGTTGCTTGCTGCAGTGAAATGGTCCGATCAGAAACAAAGCACCTCTCCAAAAAGAAAAGGGAAGAGTTAATTATTCTTGATAAAGGGCTTTGTTTCCAGTAAGACTATTTCACTGCAGTGAGCTACATTAACGTTGAGTCTAATAAAATGGTCATATAGACGGGAGTGAGATTTACTTTTCTAGACATTTCATATGGTCACAAGCACAGAATGTGGCAGTGAAAACAATTGCTTTTACTTTACGCAAAAGGAAGGGGTGAAAAATCAGCAACAAACACAATGTCCTAACTAAAAGTGATTAGCTACAACTACTCCCCAACAGAAGACTTCTGATTCAAACCACTCTCACTTGGTAAACACTTTGCTGAGTTTGTTACCTCAACAGCATCGCTGATTAAAGGCACAGAATCATCTTGATTTATTTTACAATTTGGTAGCTCATGTATACCCAGCTCATCTTGCAAATCACTTCGCTTTTCCACACTGACGGTCTCGTCATGAGCATCCAGGCTGGACGCACGCAATGCAGCAGACAGCACCTCCACTTGTGCTAAGGTAAGACAAGGAGACAGACCATGAGAAACACAGTCGCAGCATTCTTACAAGGCTTTTCTCCACTTGCATAGTACATTATCAATGACATGAATACTTTGACACTGCCATCCAAAAGCTGGAAAAAAATCTCTACTGTGGTAAATCATTAGTCTTTCAAGAGAAAAAGTAGAAAACTAATATGCTTTCATGAGATTAAAAATGTTTATCTGCTACTGTACATTATTCTGCGTTAGTATGAAAAGAGAAATGCTATCTAATTGCTGGAGCTACCTCCAGTTTATTAAAAGGAGTAAATTTCAGTAAAAGTTAACTATGTTTTGGTAGTGCATGAATCAAACTGACAAGGCTTACTTACTAAGCTATTTTAGCAGAAGAGCAGTCACACAAACCCTGCCAACATAAAACAATGGTAATTACAAAGATTTTTGTTGCAGTTACATTTAAACATCTCATATCTTATTCGAGATTATCTTTCTCTAATCTTTTTTTAAATGAAAGTAGTTAGTACCTTGTCCCAAGCACAGGGATCCCAAAATGAGCATTGTCTTGCTTGCAGTGACCCAAAATGACAACTTACGCAGCAGTGGTTCTTAAATCTGGCAACTAGCATTGCCTGTGTTTTGAGCTGCACCTTTTCCTTATAAAGGTGATTCAAAATTAAGATAAGGCATTCATCCTGCTCCCCAAATAAATGAGAAATTTAGCAAAAAAATATGGCTTAGCATTTATTCCAAGTAACAATCCACCTGAATGTTCAAATATGAACATTTAAAATTTATGTAAATAATCAGTAACTATTTTATTACTATTACAACTATTACTATACTATACTGCAGATTTAATAAAACCTCTCATCTAAATACATTAAGTGCCTGGCAGTAGACATGCAAGAAATATACAGGATAAGGTTATATTCTATTAGGTCATTATTTACTAAATTGAGGGTGTTTACTTACAAAAAGTTCTAATGCAATATTCTGATTATTTTCAAAATTTCAGCTGCAATTTTTACTAATCCTTTTAATCATTTCAGCTACCCCCTTGTGGGACCTTTTAAGTTTCCAGAACCAACAAAACCAGTAGTCAAAGAAATCTGTATGATAAAGAAAAGTTAAAATATTTTGTCCCTTATAAAGCGCATGGTGTATGTATGTGTATAATACACAGCAATTCTGTTTCCTACGGAGTTCAGATACATTGTATTTTACTGCACTATGCAGACACTGCACTTTAGCTTTTTTAATTTTTTTAAGAGACAAGATTGCGTTACCCAAGCTTGAGTGCAGGGGCTATTCAGAGGTGTGACACGGCACACTATAGCCTTGAATTCCTGGGCTCAAGTCATCCACCTGCCTCAGTCTTGAGTAGCTGGGACTACAGGCATGCACCACTGTACTTGGGTTGATAATATTATTTTTACAAATTCTAAGTCTGTAGCAATCCTGTATATCAAGCAAGTTTATTAGTGCCATTCTTCCAACAGCATATGTTCACTCTGTTTCTCTATGTAACATTTAGATGATTCTCACAATATTACCATCCTTTTCATTATTATCTATTATGGTGATCTGTGATTAGTGATCTTTAAAGTTACTACTATCATTGTTTTGGAAGCCAAAACAGCACCCTTATAAAATGGTCAACTTAAACAATAAATGTTGTGTGTATTACGACTGCTCCATCGACCAGTCTTTAACCCAACTCTTGCCTCTCCTTCTCAGGCTTCCCTATACCTGAGACTCAAAGTATTAAAATTAGACCAATTAATAACCCTAAGTTATTATATCCCTGAGTTTCCAAGTGAAAGAAGAGTCACTTTTCTCTCACTTTAAATCAAAAGCTAGAAATGATTAAGCTTAGTGAAGAAGGCAAATTTAAATCTGAGCTAGCCAAGTTGTGAATGCAAAGGAAAAGTTCATGAAGGAAATTAAAAGTGCTACTTCAAGCCAAGCGTGGTGGTGGGTACCTACCGTACCAGCTACTCAGGAGACTGAGGCAGGAGGATTACTTGAGTCCAGGAGTTTGAAACTGTAGTGCACTGTGATTGTGCCTATGAACAGTCCCTACATGCCAGCTCAGGCAACACAGTGAGATCATGTTTCTTTCTTTCTTTCTTTTTTTAAAGAGTACTACTCCACTGAACACACAAACAACTAGAAAGGAAAACAGGCTAATTGCTGATATAAAGAAAGTTTGGGTGGTTGGATAGATCAAACCAGTCAAAGGCTAATCTAGAGAAAAGCTCAAATCTCTTCAAATCTATGGAGGCTGAGAGAGGTGAAGAAGCTGCAGAAGAAAAGTTGGAAGCTAGCAGAAGCTGGTTCATGAGGTTGAAGAAAAGTAGCCATCATGGAGAAGATGCAAGGTGAAGCAGAAAGTGCCAATGCAGAAGTTGAAGTAAGCTGAGGTAACTGATGGAGATGGCTACACTGTACAACGGGTTTTCAGTGTAGGCAAAATAGCCTTGTATTGGACAGATGCCATCTAGGATGAGTTAGAGAGGACAAGACAATGGCTGGTCTCAAAGCTTCAAAGGTGACTTTAAGTTGAAGCCAATGGTCAACTTATCATTCTAAAAATCCCAGGGACCTTGTGAATTATGTTAAATCTACTCTGCCTATACTCTATCAATAAAACAACAAAGTCTGGATGACAGAACAAGACGTTTACAGCATATGGTTTACTGAATATTTTAAGCCCCCTGTTGAGAGCTACTGCTCAGAAAAAAATATTCCTTTCACACTTTTACTCCTTGTTGACAATGAACCTGGTCACCCAAGAGCTCTGATAAAGATGCACAAGGAGACTAATGTTGTTACCATGCAGCTAACAAAACATCTATTCTGCAGCCCATGGATCAAGGAGTAATTATAAAATAACTGAGGGATCCAGGCAAAACAAATTGAAAACCTTCTGGAAAGGATTCACCATTCTAGCTGCCATTATGAACATTCATGATTCATGGAAGGAGGTCAAAATATCAGTATTAACAGGAGTCTGGAAGAAATTGATTCCAACCCTTATGGACGATTTTGAGGGTTTCCACAGTTCTGTGGGCGAAGTCACTGCAGAGGTGGTAGAAATAGCAAGAGAACTAGAATTAGAAGTGAAGCCAGAAGATGTAACTGAATTGCTACAATCTCATGATAAAGCTTGAATGGATGAGGATTTGCCTTTCATAAATGAGAAAAGAAAGTGGTTTCTTAAGATAGAATATACTCATGGTGAAGACGCTGTGAACATTGTTAAAATGACAACACAGAGGCTGGGCTCAGTGGCTCAACCTGTAATCCCAGCATTTCAGGAGGCCAAGGCGAGTGGATTGCCTGAGCCCACAGGTTCAAGACCAGCCTGGGCAACTTGGCAAGATCTCATCTCTACAATAAAAAAATCAAACACTAGCCAGGTGTGGTAGCACGCGCCTATAGTTCCGGTACTTGGAAGGCTAAGACGGAAGAATCGCCAGAGTGGTGAGTATGCCACTGCACTCCAGCCTGTGCAATGGAGTGAGACTCCAGCTCAAACAAAAAAAATGACAACACAGGATTTAAAATAGTCCATAAACTTAATTGATATAGCAGGAATTAAGGGGACTGGCTCTGGTTTTTAACAATATCAAGAGCATGGCATGCTACAGGGAAATCTTTTGTGAATGGAATTGTCATGACGTGGCAAACGTCACTGTTGTCTTACAAACTGCTACAACCACCCCAGCCTGCAGCAACCACCACCCTGATCAGTCAGCAGCCATCTACACAGAGGCAAGACCCTCCACCAGCAAAAAAGATGACAACTTGCTGAAGGTTCCGATGATCATTTGCATTTTTTAGCAATTAAGTATTTTTAAATAAAGATATGTACATTTTTTAGACATAGTATCTTTTTTCACACTTTTAATAGACTACAGTACAGTGTAAAAGCACAACATTTATATGCACTGGGAAGTCAAAAAATTTGGATGGTTAGCTTTACTGCAAATATTGTCACTTTACTACAATGATCTGTAACTGGGGGCTGGCAATATCTCTGAAGTATGCCTTTATTTATATTAAAATCTCTCAACTGTAGCTTAAAATTTTATAGTACAAACAGTATTATCCATTTTCTAAAACCCAAAGTCATTTCATGAAACTTGTATGTTTATACATGTAGGCTTTTCTTAAAAAGCAAACTGTGTATATATTACTTTTTGCTCACTTGTTATTAAAAAAAAATTCAGAGCAACCCCTTCAGGTCCCCTCCCGCTGTGGGAGCTTTTCTGTCCTCTCCATAAATTCTGCTTTAAAAAAAAAAATTTAAAGCAGCCCATTCAATAATCCATTAAATAAGATTTCAGTGTCTACTATGGCCAGAGAACTAGCAGGTACTATAATGTAAGGAGCGATCCCAGAATAGGCTTAAAGCCAACTGGCAATCTTCATGAAAATGGTGGTTAAGAAAAATGAGTTAATGAAGTCTGATGAACTCCATAAGCAGCTCAGGTTAATAAGTAAGAAGACTTAAACAAAAAGCTAAAAGTTGTAAAGACATTAAACACTTATCAAGGTTTTGTTTATTTTAGAAGAATACTAAAGATACTACTTTCTCTGGTTTAAAAGTGAGTTTTTTTCAGCACTAAGCAAACTGATAGTGTAGAAAATTTTAGCTTTGGAACTAACAAGGAAAAAAAAATCCACAAAGCGATTTAAGATCCAAAGACTTGTGTTATGAGAATTTTTTCAGAATTGTTTTTTGTTTTAAATAACACTTCATATCTCACTGAATGGCTATAAAAAGTCATCAGGAAGGCCACTGTGTTCAAAGGAGTAAAAGGTAAAGGTAACACCGTCATCAGGATTTGCTCTACTGACTTTAAACTACTTCCTAGCTTCCAGCAGACAGAACAACTGACTGACTTGGAACATATATACTCCATTTAATAAGAGGGAACACTTTATTTTCAAATACAACAACCATTAAGGTTGTTGTTCACAATGAAGGAATCTAGATGATATGTGTGTAACCCAATGAAAAACAATCAAAACTAAAAAAAAAAAAGAAACTTAAATGACTCTTGTAGAAGTAGGTCTACAGCTTTCAAATCATCACATTTCATAGAAAAATAGAGATCTTTGTTCACTTTTAATGATAGGCCATAAGCCGGGCTTGGTGGCTCAGCCTGTAATCCCGCGCCCTTGGGAGGCTGAGGTGAGTGGACTGCCTGAGCCCGCGGGTTCGAGACCCACCTGGGCAACTTGGCGAGACCTCATCTCTACAATAAATCAAAAAAACTAGCCAGGCGTGGCAGTGCGCGCCTGTAGTTCCAGCTACTTGGAAGGCTGAGGCGGAAGGATCGCCGGAGCCCAGCAGGTCGAGGCTGCAGGTCGAGGCTGGGAGCGGCCATTGCACTCCAGTCTGGGCTACAGAGTGAGATTCCAACTCAAAAAAAAAAAAATAGGCCATAGTCTCTCTTTAAAAAAAATACTGTGTCTACTGCTATTTTATTTAAAAAAAACTAATGAAACCCTGAGCAAAATAGTTCAGTCTAGGCTCAAGATTTAGCATTGTAAAGCATTGAGTAACTGCAAAAATTTCAAAGAGAGTGACTTGTGAATCACCAAATATATATATATATAAATAACAGCAAGAAATTCAAGTTTATCTTAAATAAAATTTCCTAAAAATCAGATTAATCATATTTATCAAGAGAATTTAGAAGTACACGATGAAAAAAGTACATGACGATGATGATCATAATACATTTTTAAAAAGCAATGTCAAAAAAAGCAATTTATTGGAGACAAAAGTTTAAAGTCAGAAAATAACATTTTAAACCCAGTTTAGAATAAAGAACTTGACAGACTCTTCCATACCTTTAACATCTGGATCATCAATGTGGGGCTCTAGATTTTCTATCATTTCTTCAAGTTCCTTTCTGGTAGCCATGGTGATGTTTGGAGAAGTTGCTCCAGAGACTTCAGGTATTTCCTCTGGTCTCTCTGGGCTGAGCTTCTCCCCAGAGTCTTGTTCAAGCTCTGTATCTATATCTATTTCAGGAAGAGGAGTCCTCCAGAAATGGAAGGAGTTGTACAATTCCTGATCTAAAGAAGCTGAATCTTGTGAACTGGTGCCAAGCTCTGGTCGTAATGTAGATTTGTAGGTACCAGGTTTTTTATCATTCTCACTACTAGCTGCTTCCTGGTGAGATTCTGAGGACAAAGTACAAAGTAAAGAGCTGTCCATTGGAACACGTATGTCACCTGGAGATTTCCTAGATGTTTCAGCAGCATGATCTTCCATCGTGTTTTCCAGTTTGACACTGGAATTACTGACACTGAGATCTGAAGGAACATCTGGCCTGACTTGTACATCTTCTGGGACTTCTTGATCTCTGTTCCTTTTATTGTTTCATTTGGGGGGAAAAAAACACACATGAAAGTATAAAAATAATTACTGGGAAAAAAAATCAATGGAGACATCATATAGCATTTTAATAAATTAAACATTAAAAATTACAGACTGCCTGTACAAATTGAGTAGTTTATATATATTATTTATAATGCTTCTTTTTCAATCAGTTGTCCTGTATTCATAGATATAAATACCTATTAATTATAAGTCTAGATATTCAAGCAATATACAATATTGGATATTATTGAAGATAACATTTAAGAATCCTGGGATTCTATAATACCATGCTAATTTCAATAATAAATTAGAAAAAAAAACACTATGAAGAAAAATTCCTATAATGCATTTTAAGGTACATACAATTTTTAAATTATTTGATTTTTAGGAGTATGTGTATGCCACTCTGCTCCAATGACATATTGAAAAGCTGAGAATTAAAGTCTATTTGCTTACATTAGAAAAAGGAAAATGAAAAGAAGAAAAAATCTTATATAATAGTAGTAAAGATACTTATTTGCTATCCTATAAAATGTATTAATATCTGTTTATGTGTAAATATTTTTATTTCCTCCATAATATTCATCTTACTCCCGAAGGTTTTCCCAAAATGAAGTTATGACTTAATTGATAAGGATAGATGTTACAAGTTCCTAATCAAAGTCCACTGATTACTGCCATCCATCATTATCTAAACTAAAGCACTACAGTGTTATTGTTCATCCCTTATATTCTACTTGATTCAATTAAATTTAACAAGCACTTATTGAGCACCTACTAAGAGCCAGGAAATGAAATCAGCATTGAGGATTCAAGTGAGATGCAGCTCTCGCTCTTGAGATTACCGTTAGAAAGAAACAAGAAAAAAGAACATATGAGCAAATCACTGTCAGAGCAATAAGAACAGATGTAGGGACTGGCCATGGGAGGTGGAGATGGGAGTGGAGATTTAAAGGTTATAGAGGGAACTACATGAGTTATGTTTAGAAGAATTGATCGGTATCCATGAGGAAAAGGGCAAGATGAGGCATCCAAAGGAGAAATAGTACAGAACAGGGTCAGAGTGACAGAGGAGGGACGGAACATTCCGAAATCAGGAACAAGTTTACTGTGGCCAAGAAAAGGAAGCAATGGCTCTGAAAACATACCACACTGTGATCACATTTTAAATTATGATGCTTCTCTTCCATTCTTATGATAAAACATATAGTATGCACATACAAGTGTTTACAACTGTACAGATGCCAGACTGCACGTTCTTACCCCAGCACTGGCATAACATTAATATAAAACTCTGAGTCTTTCTGGAACTTTCAGGACTCCTCGTCTGTTCCTCATTGCATAAAAATGAGGGGTTAGCCTCGGTAATCTATACGATTCTTTCACATTCCAAAAGAGCTCCTGAAGCTGGTGTTGTCAGATAAAATCAATATTCTTCTAAATGTGTATGAATTAAATATTTCCCAATAATAATAATAAGTCATTTTTCCCTTTTGCTATAATAAACATCAGTGGGCTAGTTGGTGAAATCTGAATAAGGTCTACAAATTAGATAGAAATATTGTATCAATCTTAACTTCCTAATTGTGGTAACTGAACTACAGTTATATGTTAACATCTATCTGTGTTTTAAAGAAACACAGAGTAAAATATTTAACTAAGGTAAAAAGAATACCATGTCTACAACCTATTCTCAGAGATCAGAAGAATGAAGAAAATATGTTGAAACCATTTTTGGAGATTCTGCGTGAAGAATATATGAATTCTTTGTATTTTTGTGATTTTTCTGGAATTACTCCGATTAAATTTTTAAAATTTTAACTAGATATTGTCCACCAAGGGGAAGGAGAGGAGCCAATGGGCAAAGCCTGTAAGACCTCATCAACTATCTGCCAAATTTAAGAAACTTCCATTTGAAGTATACAAAAAAGAAGCAAACTGAAAGGTCACTCAGTAAAATTATTCCAGGGGCTTCAAGTTCCTTGATCACCTAGCATTAAAACTAAATTTTAATATTCACAGCTGCAAAAACAAAAGGAGAATGACTGATCAAGTCCTTTTGTTTGTCTAACAAACATTAAGCTTATTATTCATTCAAACTTAAAACTCTTAGTATGATTTTAAAGAGAAAACTAGAAAACAAAAAAGTTTTCCCTTGTACAGTACTAAATTCTGGGAGGAATTACTAACAAGTACGGGTCAAACTGTCAAAAGTATAAATTCTCTAAATTCTAATTTTTCCTGAAATCAGTTAACAGTCAATGCAAAATGAAGCTGTTCAATGCCAAAATTCTGATATTCTTAATTGTCTGACCTCTAAATGCTATTATACAAGATAACCATTGTTTTGAAAACTGAGAAGCCTTGTGATTCTGAATAATAAGAAAATTTGTCTATCTCCTAAGAGATGTATTATCAAGAGCACCAGAGGGTAGGCCAGAAATTACCTTAAGTACTACATAACCTGACAATTAATATCCTCAGAGTTCCTCATTAGAGACAATGGGCCTAGAAAATTTAAGTATAGATTTTCAAGATGAAAACAACTTATAGAACATCTGGCTAAGGAAGCACTGTATCCTGAGATGAAAGCAAAGAAAACTCTCCAGGACACATCAAAGTACTGTGAAATAACTAAATGAAGTTTTAACATTAATGATATACTTCCAAATCTGTGCTAATAACAACCAATTTTATTTTCATATAGTTAGCATTAAGCTAAACTCACAAAAACCCACACAAGTGGTTTAATTACTTCAGGTTTTTTAGATCAAATCCTTAATTCCTTAGAATAATGTATTCAAGGTTTATTATGTGCCAGGCCCAGTGAAAATGTTAGCATATATAAAGATAAAAACTAGATTTCTACACTGGATAGGCTTGGCATCCATGGGATGATATATGCAAATACATGATTAAAGAGATATGATTAAAAATTAGTGTTCTAATTCCAGGATTACTGATGACAAAGAATAAAGCTCAGCATTTCCTGGAAAAGTCAGTCTACAGACAGCACTTGCTGACATTCACTTTGTTAAATGAGGGTATGGATGCAACAAGACACTTCCCACTTCCAAGATAGCAGCAAGTACAAAACCAAATGAACACAGTGCATTCAGAGAGCAATATAATAGAGATAGATTTTACATACTTTGTAAATGTAAATGTGAATGTTTCATTCTGCATCTGTAAGTAGCCATTATCACCATTTTCAAAGACGCATTTAATAGCCTGATCTAGGTTGAGTAAAGATAAATCTGATACATAAAGTCAGATGTTTATAATCAATAAATGCTTCAAAGAGTATCCGATGAAACACTATATAAAAAATAAACCGGAGTGGAAATATGCTGCCAAAACTGCTTACTTTGTAAGGTATTTGTTTGAGAAATGTGAATCCAGGAAACTGAGAGGATCCTGAGAACAGGAACCAGATTTTATCTTCCCAGCTACAGTTTCTGGTTCCTAGTAGGTGCTCAGTTAATTTCTGCATAATCAATCAATCTTAAATAACAATACAATAGTCTAAGACACCGGTATTTAAGAGACCAAGCTAATGGTTCTGAGATTTAACAATACACATGACTACTTCTTTATAAAGCTGAGTTCTTAAATATTCAGAACTCCTCTCTTAGCCAGGAACTCTCTTCCCTCTACCATGCCATTAACATATTCAATCAAGTCTAATAATACAGTGAAGAGCCAATGATACAAATAGTTTTGACTTGACATTAAGACATACCTAATTACAATAGAAGAATTAAGGAATTAAACTACCTTTAAGTAGCTCTCCCAATAATGTCACATAAAGATAGTTAGCAAATATGGTCTTGTTAGCCACAATAAATGATTTTGTCAGTAAAGTTTTACTGGAACACAGCCAAGCCCACCTATGTACGTAATGTCTATGGCTGCTTACACACTGCAGAGACAGAGGTCAGTCAGTAGTTGTGAAAGAGAACAAAAATATTTACCTTCTGGTCTGTCACAGAAAAACTACCGACACCTGTCCCACACAATTCTCTGTAAATATATACTTTCACTTACTTGACACATTCCAGACTTAAAAAGTTATGTAATAGTCTTCAATATACTTAACTAGGTAGTAAAAAAAAAAAAAAAAAGTATGCTGACTTCAAAAATGAAAAACACCTAACATTCCCCACCACCCCATCAACATTTTTGTCAAACTCCTTGCAGCAGCTGTTTTCAAAAGAACTGACAGACTTTGCTTGTTAGGAAGACAGGTTTGAGTGATTTTTCTTCCTTTACAAAAAACAGTACCTCGGGGTTGTTTGGCTATTCAGCAGGACAGTAGGAGAACAGGCAAAAAGGTAAAACAAGGCAGCAGAGAAGAAAGAAGAACTGCCAAATCAAAACACCAAGAAAGCAAATATCACAGTATCAAGACCTATAGAAGAAAATGTCCATTAGCATCATGACAAGGGAGGGATAAGACACTATGGTAACTCAAGCATTATTGTAGGGACTGTTTCAAAAATATGTACTACAATGATTTCAAGTACATAACTGTAAAAGTGTGTACGTATTCCCCATGTATTAAGGTTTGAATCGGTTTTTCCCCTAAGCATATATTATAATAAATTCTAAAACTTAAAATCCAACAAAAATGTTTAAATGCAAAACATTTAAAAACAGAAATCAGAGTTGACTCTTTGAGCTTTATTTAAAACTACAGTTGCCCTATTAGACTTATACACTTAAAATTGATAAACTAGCTAAGAAGTATACTACATTGGTGCTAATTATTCAAATACTTCTCCCTCAACTGAAACTACAATCATCTTTCTGTAGACAGAGAATTCAAGAGCCACAATTAAATTATTTGACTGAAAAGACAAACATATTCCTAAATTGGGTTTTACTCCCTAAAAACAAATGCTTTTAAAAAACCAAAGCCTATCCACTGGATAACAATTACCAGGTATATTCTAAATATCAGTGGATGATTTACTAGGTAAATAATTTCTTAAATAAACTTATTAAATATCATAGAATCTACCATTTAAGAGTTTTCTATGTGCCAGGCATCAAGCTTTTTATTTCTTTTAAAGTGTGTTACATGCACCTTCTCATTCAATATGTAACTGAAGAGATGCTTAACAAATGTATTTGAAATTAAACTCTATAAAAATATTTACCAATGTTTATATTCAAGAGAAACAGTTCTCCAAAAAAGAACATTTACTGGAAAACAGTGGAACTGATGTTTTAAAACAGTTAAATTAAAAAACAAAGTTTTTAAATTATACCTATTTTTGTCTTCTACTGATATATCTTCTGAACCTTTGCTTTCTTCTTTAAAATACTGGCCTGAGCTGGATGGATTAGCAAAAGTAGATATGAAAGGTCCCAGAGACTGAAAAGCTGCTTGGCGAACCTAGGAAGACAAAAGGATATTTTAAAATATTTAAAAGGAATTTTATATACGCATATACACACACACACACAAACATATATATACTTATAATCTACTTTCCACATAACAAAGAATGTTTAGGACAAAATCTTTTCTAAAAGAAACCCAGCTTCAGAATCACTCTTCAGCTAGGCTTTTAAAATCTTTATAAACTATTTTCTCTTTTTAAAAATTGTTTGTATATTGGTTTGAATACTTAAAACTATTATAATCTATGAGAGCCTATAAAACATTTGCACAGAATAAAAACTAAGGAAAGTTCTGCTGTGTTCTCAAGAACTAAAAGAACAAAGAAAACCAAAAGTGCCAAACAGAACACATAAATCAATAAAGTCATACACTTAATGTTTTCAGGTAGGAAAGGCTGTAAATTGTTCACTACACGGAAGCAAGAAAGACATACCAGAACTACAAATATGCCCATCAGAAATATAACGCTAACTTAAAATATGTGTCACAAAGATCTAGAAGCATACATTACTGTTCTCAGTAACTGTCTTACAGAGGAGCAGTGATAAGCAGGTTACAAAATTGTATTTCATGTCATATTTTTGTATTATTTTTGAAATCAGAATTTTTAAGGCCAGGCACAGTGGCTCAAGCCTGTAATCTCAGCACTTTGGGGGGCCAAGACGAAAGGATTGCCTGAGCCTGTGGGTTCAAGACCAGCCCTGGCAACATGGCGAAACCTCATCTCTACAATAAATCAAAAAATTAGCCAGGTGTGGTAGCATGCATCTGTAGTTCCAGCTACTTGGAAGGTTGAGGTGGAAGGATCACCAGAGCCCAATGGGTCGATGCTGGGGTGGCCAGGAGTGTGCCACTGCACTCCAACCAGGGCGACGGAGTGAGACTCCAACTCAAAAAAAAAAGAAATCAGAATTTTAAAAAAATAAAACACTTGAAAAGGAAAAGTTTTACGTTTTAAGGAAGTAGGTAAGAATGGGCACAATCTGACATGATGTGTCGTGTCACACCATAATGGAAAATCAGTAAGTTACTAAAACCTTTACTTTGCCACAAATTCACTTTTCAGAAGTTCGGCATTCCTTTTCTAGAAAAAGAGATAGCAATGCTTTTTGAAAGCTTAAATAAAGATTATATAATTGCCAAATTTACAAAGGCAAAAAAATAAAAAGCATACGTATTCTTAGCATTTCGCTACTTGGAGAAACATACACAAAAATTGATTCAACTGGTTCAAAAAAAGGCTAGAATTACATGCATGACAGGGAAAAGAAGAGCTTGTATGAGTGTGAATTTAGGGTTTTTTCTCCTTTACAAGTCAGCAAGCATTACTTCCAAAAAAGTATAAATGATCACTTTAAACTCCGGATATTGTTAAAGCTATAAACTTGTACCGAGCAAAGGGCATAAAAAAACTGTACTTAAATCATCAGTTTCCTCTGTTGTTGGCTTAGAGATATAACCTAGGCGTGTCTAATAGAAGTTAAAGATTTAATTAAATCACACTATTAAAAATTAACCTACCACCTTGATTTCACAAAAACACAAACTAAAATCCAAATAAAATTACTTCCTCCATGTCATCTTACAGTTAAAATGGGATCAGGATTAGACTCCAAGCTTCTTAACTTTCCATTACATCCTACTGCCTACAATTTAATTTTCCAACACTATAAAAATATTTCTACTCTCAGCTACTCCTCAAAATGAAGTGATTTTAAGCTGTTATTATTTTTACTAGTTTCAATAACTTTAAGAAATAAGATAAACAAATAATGATTTTAAATATTCTGAAAAGCCACTAAAAAAACTCTCAAGTCACACAAAGAATAAATATTAAAGAAATTCAGAGATAAAATTTATTTTATACCTAAATAGGCAAAGGGTTTTACAAATATATGGACATGCGTATGTGTGTATCTCTCAAAGAGGCACAGGATATACAGTCAGTCCTGCCATATTCATGGGTTCTGTGGCTTCAACCAACAGCATACTGAAAATATAGTTAGGTCCACGATGGTTGCATCACTACTGAAGACATACAGACTTTTTTTCTTGTCATGATTCCCTAAAAGATATAGTATAACAACTACTTACATAGCATTTACATTTTATTAGGCATTATGTGTAACCCTGAGATGATTTTTATTCACAGTTGCAGTGGCATACAGAAGGAAGAGGGCTTAAAGTATAGGAGGATGAGCCGGGCTTGGTGACTCAGTCTGTAATCCCACACTTTGGGAGGCTGAGGTGAGTGGATTGCCTGAGCCCGCGGGTTCGAGACCCGCCTGGGCAACTTGGCGAGACCTCATCTCTACAATAAATAAAAAAAATTAGCCGGGCGTGGTAGCATGCACCTGTAGTTCCAGCTACTTGGAAGGCTGAGGCAGAAGGATCGCCAGAGCCATCCCAGCAGGTTGAAGCTGCAGTGGCCGGGAGTATGCCACTGTACTCCATCCAGTCTGGGCAACAGAGTGAGACTCCAACTCACAAAAAAAGTATAGGAGGATGCATGCAGGGTATATGCAAATGCCGTGCAATTTTATAGAAGGGACTTGAGCATCCCCAAATTTTGGTACCACAGAGGGCCAGGAACCAACGCCCCAGGGACACCAAGGGATGAATTGTATTTTAAAAAAAAAAAAAAAGACTGAGATAGGGCAACCCCCTCGGGTCCCCTTCCACTGGGGGAACTTTTCTGTCCTCAATGAATCCTTTAAAAAAAAAAAAAGACTAAGATACCCATACTCCCAAATTAACAGGAAATAATACAAGTTACTGATCCAAAACAATGAAAAAGTAGTTACAGTTTCAAAATAAAAACCAAACAAGCTATGTTAACCTTTTGTAACAATCTTATACAGAATAATACAAAACTATTAAAATAATACCAAAGCTTAAATGTCTTTCTGTGTGTTTTGTTTTATAAATTAATATGGTAATATCCTGACACCAACTTATGCTTCGACAGCATGAGGAGTTCAGCTGACCCATTCCCCAGTGAAACAAGTGAAAATTATAATCATTCAAATCCTCTGGAAATGGTCCTAAGAGTAGACAGCAAAGGAAGAAATATCCAAGAAAATCTACAAAATATAGTAAAAAAGCTAAAAGTCTATGGCATTTGAAACAAGACCATTCCCTCCTGCCTCTAGCTTGGTAGGTGGAGACTCCACTATGGATAGCTGCAATCAAGAACACTGGGTTCCCCCCCAGCTCCCAGGCACAGTGCTCTGCATGACTCATTACTCATGCCTATAATCCCAACACACTGAGAGGCCAAGATGGAAGGACTGCTTGAGCCCAGGAGATCGAGACCTTCCTGGGTAACAGCAAAACTTCATCTATACAAATAATCAAAAAGTTAGCCAAGCATGGTGTCACACCTGTATTCCCAGCTACTCAGGAGGCTGAGGCAGAAGGAGTGCCTAAGCCCAAGAGTTTGACGCTGCAGTGAGCCATGATCATGCAGCATGGGTAACAGTGAGACCTCCACTCAAAAAAGCTTCAAAGTAGCCATCATAAACATGTTCACAGAACTAAAGGAAAGCATGATTATACAAGTAATTAATGCAAGGTATGGGGGCAATGTTGCATCAACTAGAGAATAACATCAATAAAGATAAATTATAAAAACAAAAACTTACTGAAATTAAAAACTCTAGCCGGGCCCAGTGGCTCAGCCTGTAATCCCGCGCCGTTGGGAGGCTGAGGTGAGTGAATTGCCTGAGCCCACAGGTTCGAGACCTGCCTGGGCAGTGAGACCTCATCTCTACAATAAAGCAAAAAATCAGCCGGGCGTGGCAGCGCATGCCTGTAATTCCGGCTACTTAGAAGGCTGAGGCTGAAGGATCGCCGGAGCCCAGCAGGTCGAGGCTGCGGTGGCAGGGAGCAGCCAATGCCCTCCAGCCTGGGTGACAGAGTGAGACTCCAACTCAAAAAAAAAAAAAAGAAATTAAAAACCCTAAATGTCAAAGGCAAGGAGAAAATCTAGAAAGCAACAAGAGAAAAATGGTATCTCACTTACAAGGGAATCCTAATACGATTACCAGTTGACTTCTCGGAGAAACAAAAGAGGCTAGAAGGCAGTGGCATAACATATTAAAAGTGCTCAGAGAAACTGGCCTCGGTGGCTCAGCCTGTAATCCTGTGCTTTGGGAGACAGAGGTGAGTG